ACATTTGTACGGGATCTCTGGTGGCCCATTCGTTGATACAAAACACTGATACTCCTATTTTGTTGAATGGGCCACGTTAGCTAACGTTCAGAGTGTGGGTTGCTGTGACAGCAGGACTAGATTCTACCTTCTGGTGTCATTTCACCAGTTATTACTATTAAAACATGAGTGAGTTCTAGGAATATCTAGCCCCAAAACCTCCTGTGTGCTTACAAAAGGGCAGAGGTCCAATTATACCAAATGTCCAAGTACATGCACACATTCTTATGGCTGACCTGGTGCTGATAACGGCGTTCTGAATAAAAGCAAATTCATATGTCAATCTCACTGTTTTGGCTGCTTTCAACGAACTAGAGTTGTCTGTGAACATACATGACAGATGGCAATGTAACGGTCGTAGGCAAGAAGTAGCAAGGTCATCATTTCTATACCTATTCGAGCATCATTCAGAAATTAGTGATTACACAACACGGCAAAAGATACGTACATGAGCAGGAAACAAGGATCCAGCCTTGTATGTTACAAAACATTTGAGATGGGAGTAAATGGCCTAGAGCCAGCGCGTCGGCAATAGATCCCAGCGAAAACCATATGTATATGAACTGAGTCAGAGGCAGGTTGACAATGAGGATTGTTTGACCGACTCGCATTCTACACAAAGAAATGAATAGTGAGTAACAGGACGTGAAAACAAAACTTTCCACACACCGTCTATCACTAAAGAATGCAATTAACAATGCAGAGTTGATCACCGCAGCAGGCACGAGCAATATTATGATTGTGATGGCAGCGGCATAGTCGTCAATCTCCCAGTCAGGGACATCCATTGCTAGAGTTTACCAACTGTCAGGTTTAGAAGAACACTTATTATGAGCAAAAGGGTTGGCGTTTGTTGAATGTTTCCGATTTCGGAATGGAGTGAAATGACCCTAGCATTTGGTAAATCGTCAATCACAAGGTTGGAAGGTTGGTGAACCCTGCAACATGCTGCTTAGAAGGGTGTAAGGAACCCCCAGAAAATCAGTAAGTTTCTGCCTTTGTATATGATTCGTCGCCAGGCGTCAATTACTGAAATTTAAGTTCTGAGGATTTTGGGGAGCTGGAGCATGGGGGCTGATGTACCGTGATCTTTATTTTTTGTGAGAGATTGTATCGCCGGCGGTTGTATCGCGCATCGAACAACTAGATAGAAATCACTCATTTCCTCCTAAAAGATTGATTTTGACGATTGTTTGCAGTGTTACAGTGGCAATGCAAGGAGGCCAGACTATAATTGAAGCAGATCCAAACTCTGTTTATATATGAGATAAACACCACCTGAAAATGCGGATTTCACGCTTCCGTTTGTAGTCTGTATGCACGATGTTGATTGTTCGGCTGTGGAAACTTTCCACAACCGCAGTTCCTCACTATAAAAAAGCTGTTTCGGAGCGGTAGAGCTGATCTATCTTGAAGAGTAACCCCAATAAGGACTGCTCAGTTTATTGTGGTGAGATCTACTACTTGGCTTCGTCAGCAAAGTTGTCAAATTCCTTTCCGCAACCATGATATTTACCAAAGACTAACAATTTCCACCACTGTAACATAGGACAGTCTGCCGCCTACCTGAAATCTACTAGTATCAAGACCAACTGAAACTATCTACCATGAGCAACATACCAAAACTATCAGCCGAGGAGCTGCTTAAAGTGGCACATCGCGACAAAAGGGAGAACGCTCTTTATTTCCTGGCCAGGCTCGTGCCAGCGTAAGCACTTACATATCTGACCAAGTGCAGTTGTATATGTTGAATTTCGTACCTTACCTCATTGCCTCTCTGGTTGGTGTGGTTCCTGATATGCTGCAATGTTATTAGAAACGTGTTGATGGGTCTCGCAATGTTCAGTGCTATATTCCTGCCTCGAAATATCGCACTAGCTGGCGCCGCTGCTCTCGCTGGACGTAAGTTACAGCGTTGTAGCCATCATCACTTGGGATCTAACAACTAGTTCCAACATAGCATTCATCGTCAAGTCTACTCTAATCTCAATGGGTCTACTACACGATATTGAACGTGATGGAGTCATTGCTCAACGTTACGTCGCAAAACGGGAAGGCTCTTTTGTCGTATTCTTGATTGGATTCAGGGCTGGCAGCACGTACAAGATGACAGCAACAAACAGTTGGATGGGACAAGCTATGGGAGAGATATTGAAGGAGCTGAACGCTGATAAAGAAGCAGACAATAAGTGGGGGTTCTTGGGTGGTGATACGTAAGTCGCTTGTTTCAGGCCTCTTGTCAATGTCATGAGTTGGAGCCTACCAATTTTTTTATTAGGTTTGTATCTACAGATGACTCAAACGCAACAATATTGCTAGTCTGTTACTTTCAGACCTTTGAAGGGCTGGCAAATTACGGATCGTCGCCTGATGTAGTTCATGGTGAGTGATACTCTCTGTCATGTTAAACAACTCCAAACTTGGAACTCACTATGCGTCTTCTCTTGTTAGGCCCAGCAATGCGAAAACTAGCCGCCCTCTCCAAGCAAGACCAAAGCTTGGGCTTCTTCCACGAGACATTCGTCGTGCAAGATGGCCAGCATGAAGCAATATACGTCAACTTTCCTCGTATCGGTCTTGCCAATGCCAAGGGAAGTTTCATGGTACCTGCATTGGGACGATATGGAGCAGCAGCCTTACGTATGGGCTCAACGGGCTCTAAAGTAGTTGATAAAGTCGCCATGCCTGAATCGTACGAGAAGAATATCAAGGATTTTTATCAGGATCAGATCAAGGAGTAGATAAAATGAAGGACTTGTGTGTGCCATTGTGTATAAATCTTAGTCGAGCATATATAGTCAACGTTGTCGTGTATCAAGGTGTTTATTTGGTTAGTTGAACACGTTCTGGTCTCGTTTAAACTTGCTTGAGGTGCCAAAGCAATTGGAAACACGTAAAAGATACGTTTTGTGATGCTGCGGTTGAAAGTTGAAAGGTGTCGACGTGTTCTCCCAAAGGTACACAAACATACAAAACGCATTTGGTCGATAAATATTCCAAACAACTCGGAAACCCATTCTAGATCAAGATTCTATACGTACATTGATCCTCAATAGCGTCGATTACGCTGCATCGCAGACATGATGACCGGCCCAACCGTCCATAAGGAACGAAAACAGCAAGCAAAACCGTTCAAAGTGGTTTTTGGTTCCAAGAAGATGAAAAAGGAGATCAAGAAGATTGATTTCTTGCTGAAGAACAAGGTAAATTTGTTATCTAGGTTGTGTGTTTGATAGTCAGCAAGTTGTTTAAGAGCTGACATCAATCTTTTTTTTTGTACCAGACTGATTTGGACGCTACTTCCCGCATTGAGCAAGAACGTAAGCTCAAGTCTCTCAGCTTGCAGCTGAATGATTTACAAACTGGGAGACAGGAAGCAAAGCTGTCGGCCAAGTATAAATACGTTCGGTTTGTTGGTATGTCTCCTTGTCGCTTGCAGAAAACAGTTCAAAACTTAACTTCAAATTTTGATTTAGAACAAAAGAAGGCAACACGACGCATATCCCAACTACAAAAGCAACTCGCTAAACTATCAGAAACCGACCCTGCATACGCCGAAACACAATCGCAGCTCGTAAAAGCTCGAGTGGATTTATGCTACATTGACTGCTTCCCCAAAGATGCTAAATATGTAGCTCTGTTCCCATCTGGAACTCCATTTGTAGATAGCACGACGTTATCGGCAAGTGCTGCTGCTACGGAAGACGCCAGGGTACAAAAGACGGAACTTGTGAGGTCGACTGTTTGGGCGAAATGTAAGGTTGCTGTGGAGAAGGGGATTGAAGGGACGTTGCTGCTACATGCTAAAGATATAATGCCTGGTGATGTAATGCCTGGTGGTAATGATGATATGGAAGAGGATGTAGTGGAATCGGTACCGGCAAAGGCCGTGGAGAAGGTCGTTGTAGCAGACGAGGAAACAACAAAAAAGCAGAAGAAAAGGAAGGCACCACCAACGCCTATAGTTGAAGCAGAGAAATCTGTAATAGCACCTAAAGAAATCATTGACGATTTCTTTTTATCACCTGCTGATTTCCCACAACCGTTACCGCTACCACCACATGAAGAAGTGGATGCTAAAGAAGGAGTCCGTAAAGCCTTTTATGAAGAATCGCCAGAGCCATACGTCGTAAAGAAGCGTAAAATAAAGGATGAGTCGATAAAACAGCAACACGAATCGACTGATGTAGAGTCGATACAACCTATAGTACAAAAGGCAAAGAAAGATAAAAGGAATGTTGAATCCACTGATGTCGAGTCGATACAGCCTGTAGGGAAGAAGGCGAAGAAATCACACAAGAATCAACTTGAATCAACTGACCATACACCACAAGAACCCATATTGAAGAAGGCCAAGAAATCAGAAACGAGGAATGTTGAATCTACTGGCGATACACCACAAGAACCCATGGTGAAGAAGACAAAGAAATCAAAAGCCCTTTCAGAAAAGTAGTCTTCTAGCATCTGCTTTGTATATAGTGAGAGACATAAAAATTGCATTACAAACCCAAGCAATAAAACAAAAGAGTCAGCTGTAACACTCGTATCTGTCCGATATGCCATCGTTGAGGAAATTTTGCACATCAGTCAATAGTCAGGGTTTGAAAAAGGTTGCTCTAGGTCGTGTGGCACTGCGACTCGGTTAAGAGGAATGCGACTACCCATGACACACCTTCAGAGGGAGAAGGGCTCTAATGGGTTCAGACCTTTGTGGTTCTTTTAGCACATGATGGGTACGCAATGCTTGTACTGCAGAGTAGTAGCACGTTGCGTTTGATAGCGACAACGAAATTCAAATGAGGAATCAAACTTGTATAGCATTTTGAAAAGCAAAAGAAAAGAAACTAGTGTTACAGATGTATCTAACTAAGACGCAAAATAACGTCAGTCAAAGTCGAACAAAGTTGCAACAATCAGAAACACCCACCTTAATTTAACGCAACAAACCACAAACCAGGACCTTACGAAATCCGCTTCCACTTCCCACTCCCAATAGGCTCTCTCCTCCTCCCTGTCACACCCGCTCTCGAATCATACACCGCACTGGAGCTTCCACCCTGCTTCACAGAACCTCCACCCTGCTTGACCTCCCAGTTCAAATCACTCCAATACTCCTCCAGCGCTTTCCCCACATCATACCCACACCTACTGACATACGACGTCGACTCATGCACATCCGTGCATTTAGATATAAGCTGGAATCGCTTCACCAGCGAGCGTCTGACCTCTTCCTCGTCCGGAAACGCTCGTTTTGAGACGGTTGCGCCCGGGATGAAGAGCGAGCCGACAGAGTAGATGTCGTCGGACATGAGACGGTTTGCGAGTTTTATTGTGTTGACCTATGAGAAGTGGCGGGTTAGAAGGTATTTGTGTGAAGTTTGGGTGAAGTGATGTGTACATCGATTCCGTAAGAGATGGCTATTCCCCATAGCGTTTCATTCTTGATTACGTAGTGAACCACGCCGGGGATTCGTCTGGTGTCGGCTGTGGTATCGACTGCTTCGTTGGGCTTTGGGCACTTTGTGTCGGTTTCTGATGTTAATAATGTTGTGTCAGATACGATGGATGTGTATGGAGGAGGAGCTAACAAGACAGATAAAGTGTTAATGTTGTGCCTTGCGACCGATTTCGGGTGCGCGCTTACCCTCATCCGTAAACTCTTCATCTATTTCCATGCTTGTCATTGGATTTTTGAAATGAACGAATGACGCATAGGGTGACGAACACAATTAAAAAGATCTCGAAACTCCATACTTCATATCCAGCTTCAGACCGTGATTTATTAAATCTCTATCATGAATAGATAAATGGTGTTGGATACAGGAATACAGAGAATTATACATTCACAGATCCAAGGCGACGCAGCACTGTCCAATACGATTGTTTATACCCATACGGATCAGATATCGACTTCCTCTTCAATGTATTCTGGAAGTGGTTGTCTCTTGTATATGAGAAAGCCAGGGATACAGATGAAGAACATCATGCCTTGTACAAATGTCGTCCATTGCCACCCGATTTTTACATAGAGTGCTGATGCAGTTAGAGGCCTAGGAAAATTGTAAGTTAGGTTCATATCCAAGAGAGCTGAGACTGATAATCTTACCCAATTATCAAACCAGTTGCAAAGAACAAGTTCCAGAGTCCGTATGCTCGAGCAGTTAGAGATGGAGGTATGCATGCCGCGATTTCAGCTAATAGCGAGCAATGTAAGCGAGTAGCGGGACAATGGATGCGAGACGAAAAAAAGCCAAGAAGAAATCTTTACCCATGAAAGGCGTTAGCACAAAACTTGATGTTACTCCATAAATGATCAGGACAATAGCAGTCAAATATGGAGGGTTGGATGCATTTAGAATTCCGAAACATGCCATGCAACTAATTAAGCGGTTTGGATTTTTAGACCTTTAGAATCTCGTTGGTTGCTGCTGCACATGGTGATAGTCAAAATCAATTTTCTTACATTGCTGATGCCAAGGAGCCGGGTAAACAGACTGCTCTCAGACCATACCTATTGTTGATGTTCGTTGAGTTCATATAAAGCTCCTATCCGACCAAGACAATATTGTTCATACTTGTCATAGAGGTATCCACATACGGGAGCGCATAGTATCTGCGGTAGCACTGGAACCAAGAAGTAAAGTCCAACTTTGGTTGAATCGAACCCATAACTATCGACCTAGTGTTGGCAAGTTTGGTCAAAACCATATATAGTAAGACATCACCACGTCAGTCAATACCAAGAAGAAGGGCAAGATTGGTTCAAGTCCTCCCCATGCGGCACAAGCGAGCACGCTGAGTATGAACAACAGCAGAAGGTTCCTGTTCTTCAGCACGTCCCAAGACGTGTACTTAATTTCCGTTCTAATGATTTTTTTAGTTGGCTTTTCTGGGAGCATTACGGTTTGTGCGTCGTCGGCATCACTTGGTGCTAGTTGCCCATCAGCAAGATCACCAGTCAAGTCACTGTGGTTTGTAACAGCTATTGGTTGGTCAATAACTGTCTTGATATTTTCAATGTCTGGTGTTACTGATTCTGCGTTCTTCTTTTTGAGAGTGTCCTTGATTATTATTGGACCTGCAAAGAGACAAGTTACATCAGAAAGTGTCGTATTCTTTGCTCGTCTTTAGCAAGGCACCTACCAATTAAATCCACAGCAATCAAAAAGTAACAAAAGATAAACGGAGCAGCATATGAGGTATTAAACAAAACTCCCGACACTGGAGGCCCAATCAACTGCCCAAGACTGAATGCAATCATGACTGTCGACATTGCAACACCGACTTCCGACGAAGGATACACATCTGCTATCATGGCTAAACCAACAGTCCATGTACATCCACCAGAAACTCCCTGGAAGAAACGAGCGACAGCCAAAAGCCAGTACACTTTGGCTACAGCGAATATTATGGTGGTCACGACTAGGCCTAGTAAGCCTGCAAAGAGCACCCATCGTCGATTCTGTAGGCGATCGGATATGATGCCGAATATGGGTGATGCGACTTGTTTGGTAATGATGTTAGTATTCGAAGACGTGGCAGAAGGGGTTTGCTGGTGGTCCTTACTCAAAACACCAAGAGAAAAGAATACAATCAGAATGCCTGTCTCGAATGGACCACCTCCAAGGTCACGAACTATAAGGAAACGAAAGATCAGACAAAATAGATACAGGGCCTCGAAAACGTCAACAGAGCAAGATGCAATTTTGTCTCGATGTTTGAACCACATACTCACCAATGAATGGAGCAATCGGTATGATCACAGTATAAACTGTCAGATCAGTAAAGATAGCTACAGATAAAACACAATTAGCGTCAACAGTTGAAAATGAACTGTTAGAGCAGTCTTTGACCAAATGTTTGATTTTGGGCAGAATCAGTGCTGCGGAGCACCCGATCATGGGAGGAAGCACATACCTAGTGTTGTAATGACCAGTACAAACCATTTGGATTCTCGCCAGTGCAGTTTTGTCAGTGGTGTTGTCTGCCCTTCTGCTACCAACCCCACAGCATCCATGTTTGCCTTTTCCTCCAATGGTATCGCCATGATATGTACACCAACTCGACGAATGCAACAGATCGGTATATATTGCTACGTTGAATGATGACAGAGTTTGTAATAAGAAACCACGAAGAAAAAAGTGACTGGGGGGCAAAATTCGATTGGCCGAGCCAAATCATGCAGACCAGAGTAGGCCACAAGATCAAAGTTGGAGCATTTCTAGGCGTTTTGACGTGATTTCCACTGTCAACAATGTGTACGTTGGCAAGCGACCGGTATTGAAAGTTGATCAAAGTGATTCATCACACAAAGAAATGACCACTTTGCGTGTGGAATTCAGTGCTAGGAAACCCGCCCTGAAGAAGATATGATCCATCTTGGCGCCAGACATTGAAATATCCAGCGTGTAAATATCCCATTTCTGTCCTCGCATTCACCACACAGATTGCTGCACGCACGTTCCGGTCAACAAGTCCAAGATCTGTTGGCTTCAGCTTCAACGACAGCTCGAATTTGAAGGCGAAAAATGAGTAGGCCTATAGATCCACTAGACCCTGATATAGACTATCAAAGAGAAGCCCCTAGGTACTGTCAATTAAGCCTTGGTTTTTTCGTGATTATTGGAATCTGACTGTTCGAATGTGATTTTCCAACTTACCAGGGCCAGACCTCCTCCTAGACAGCGCCCAACATCTGATATCCAGCAGCCTTTTCACCAACATCCCGACCTACAGCTATTCCAACATCCTTCAGAACAGCAAACATCCAATGCCAACATTGCATCAACATCGCCTACTCAACCAGACCAACCCACTCAACCACAAAACGGCCTAGCCCAGAACGTACATCCATCTGCAATGAAACGCATCCCATACTGTAACTGGGCTATCATCCTTACTTCCGCAAACCAAGAATATTACTTGAATCTCAATTCTCAGGAAGCTGTTTGGGATATCCCAGAGGAGATTGCTGATATTATTGAGAACTTGATGGTGGCTGCTCAGGGTGGAATGGATGATGATGATGATGATGGTGGGATGGGAGATGTCGAGATGGCGGATCAGATGGACGAGACTAGTAGGAAACGAGAGAGGGAGGAAGAGGAAGACGCTGCGTCTGTAGCCAAGAAGCCGAGAGAGCTGACGCGAGAGGAGAAGGTTCAGCATTTTGAGGCATGTTGTTGTGGCTGCTTCTTTGACACAGCATTAGATCTTACTTGACTAACCGCAGTGTTTTCTGATCTCCATTTCAGGAATTACTCAAAGAGAAGGAGGTCAATCCATTTTCAATGTGGGATACGGAACTTCCAAAAATCATTAATGACATTCGATATACATGTGCGTTTGTGAGCGCATACTTGTCCGAAATCGCCTCCGTTTTTGCTCACTAGTGACTTTGACATAGATATCGCAACGCTAAAGGAGCGTAGAGAGATCTTTGATCTATATTGCAAATCTCGATCTGAAGAGATTGCTGCTCAACGGAAATCACAAATTAGGGTTGGTTATTTGTGGCCAAACACTGTTTTTTTTTCGGCATCCTCTCATTCAAACGCTCACACTATTATTAGGACAAGAAGGACGCATTCATCAAATTATTAGAAGATGAAACCACTATCAAGACTAACTGGGACGATTTTCAACGTAAATTCAAACGTGACTCGAGATTCATGGCTATGGAGCCTAAAGAACGTGAAGCCATTTTTAAAGATCATATGAGGAACTTCAAGGAACGTGAATTAGAACGTGAGTTAATAGCTTGTTGAAAAGTGACATTATTAGGCTTTTTTGCTCACTTTTACTTTGACAGGGAAACGAGCACAAACCAAAGCAAACCGAGACGCCCTCCTCGAACTCCTCAAATCAACACGCGGTATTGATCCTGACTCGTCATGGAGACGCGTACAGAGAGATATCGAACATGATGCCCGATACAAGGCAATCTCGTCTGCTACAGAACGTGAAGATGTGTTTAGACAGTATGTCAGCACATTGAAATCTGAAAGGGATGCTAAAATCAAAGATCAGGAGAAGGCGGATCGAGTCAAGGCTGCTGTCAAGGAACGAGAAGAGGCTGTTGGACGAGAACGGGAAATGAGGAGTAGAGAGATTGAGAGGGCGCGTGGTGGGTTGAGACTTGAAGAGTCAGTTAATGTGTTTAGGACTCTGCTGGTTGATGCTGTTCGATCTCATAATGTAAGAATCGTGTGCAAGGAGTATGTTGCTGGGGAACTCGTGTCGTTGTGATCAAAGTAATTCATGTCCAATTATCTTTTTTCGCTTTTCTAGGTTCGCTACCAAACCATGCTGGAAACACTTAAAAAGGATGCACGATGGTCTCAAGCTCAACTGAGCGACCACGACCGTCAAACCCTCTTTGACGAACACGTCGATGAATTATACGCTAAACGTCTCGCAGGCTTCCATACTTTATTGGATGGCATATGTGACCTCAAATCAACCTTCGCCGACATCTACCCGCAAATTGAAGACGATCCAAGAGTTGGTCGTTTGGAAGTCGATGAGGCTGAAATGGAGAGATTGTTTAGTCAGTATATTGTTGAAAGGAGGAGACGTGCTGAAGATGATTTGAGAGAGGCGTTGAGGGAGAATAACTTTATCAAGTAAGCATTCATTATCATTAAGCAGCTGTTTTTGGACCGACGTGATTTCCGTGCGTGTTTTTAGGTTTCATGTCAAAACAGCAGTATCGAATAGTGAAATCAAGGCTGTTGAAAACAAGCAGCAGTCTACTGAAGCTGATGCTTGGGCTCTTGTCTCGTTGGAAGAAATCAAGCAAGTTCTCAAGGTACGCATTCGTGTGCAATCCTTCATTCTTTTGAATCATTTTTTTGTGTGGATGAGGAAGGAACACTAATACCAACTTGAACACATACAGGAGGACAAGCGATTCCTATTCATGTCATCAGCAGCAACTACCCGTGATGACATTGTCAAGAACTACTTGCAGCACTTGATTCGAGAGAGTATGGCTGAAAAGGGCGGTACTCGAGACTTGACAATTAGTAAATTCGGTGGTGGAATGCCACAACACGATGGACACAAGAGCGAGTCTCAGCGATGGAGAAGTGCTGAGGGTAGTCGGCGACCGAATGTGTCTGGGTCTGAGAGGAAGAAGGGGATCATGGATTGATGTTGTTTGTTCTTTGTACTTGGCATTTTTCACTTGTACTATTTACACACTTTTGATGTTATATATAGAAGTCGAAGTCGTAAGCAAGTTTACTGTGTCTGAGGGGCCATGGATTTGAACTCATCCTTTCTTTGTTTACGGATGCTGCAGAAGCACCCAATTTACGCCCTACCAGAGAAGGAGGTGAAAGCCATGTGAAATGTGAGATACAGAGTCGCGATGATCAGAATGGTATTCATTTCATTTAAATTCGGTACCCTGAGGGTACTACTGCAATAGATTTCGTAAAGCTGAAGAACGTGAAGCAATCTTGGATCCGTATTGTAGATCTCGATTCTGAAGAGATTGCTACTCAACGGAAATCGCAAACCATGGTGGGTTATTCTTGATTCGAGAAAGTATAGCTGAAAAGGGCGGTGCTCGAGACTTGACAATCAGTAAATTCTGCCGTGGAATGCCACAGCACGATGGACACAAGAGCGAGTCTCAGCGATGGAGAAGTGTAGAGAGTAGTCGATGACCGAATGTTCTGGGGTTGGGAGGAAGAAGGGTATCATAACTGGGGATAACTCATGATTTTGTTTTTGCACGAAACTCTAATGCTGATTTACTTTAAATTATTCAACTTGTATTCCTTACAACTTTTGCAGTTACATTATAGACAGCATCAGCAATTTACTTTCTCTGGGACAACATGGATTTAAAGTCATCGATTCCTATTACACCATCACCGTCCTTGTCGAATAGTTTCAGAAGCGTGGACACATCTTCCTTCCATGGCACGCCATAAGGAGAAAAGAAGGCAGCAAGACGTTTCAATTCGGTTTTTGTTATGGGTCCTCCAGCTGGTTGAAAGAACTACGTACAAGGGAGGTGTAAGTTTTCTCCTCATGAGAACAGGGGACAAAAAAGGACATCTAACGCTTACAGATAAAGCCTCAGTAGCGATATCACCATCCCCCACCGACGTATTCCAATTCCAATCGTTTTTTGCCAACGATGACGCTAAATTGGCAAGCCCTTCACGATTCACGTCTTCCGTTGAACTGAATAATAATTTGGCCATTTTGCCACCATGCATTGACTTGATATTTGGTTGAAGTGCTTCAATCTTGATTTTAATGTCGTTGGGCGTAATTTTCTTGTCCTTGGCGAGGTATCCGAGACAGTGATCTTGTGCGGCTGCGTTATAGGGACGTGATGAGCTGGTTGTTTGAGTGCCTGAATAACCTGCCATTTTCGTATCAAGTGGTGTTCTTGTGGTTCGGAATGTTTGTTAAAACCAAGTTTAGGAGTGTGAATGCTCGAGTTTGAGAGCACTTTGGTATATAAAGGATGCGTCAAGCCTTGTAGTATAGCAGGAAAGGGGAACGGTTTACTCGCCACAGCGACAATTCCTCCGGATACGGTGCTGTTGATTGAGAAACCACTGCTTTCTTGGAACAGAGGAAGCTACAATCCAGCTTTAACTCTTTGCCAATTGTGCGATGGATTTACGATGGAAACGATACGGAAATTGTATCCGTACGCCGAGGAATGTCTGCCACCGAATGCTGAAGGTAGAATATCGGCATCTGAACTAGACTTGATGATAAAAGCAGCAGCAACAGCAGGACCAACCAACAACACAGATGATTTAATTAGGCTGTATCTAGTATTGGAATGCAATTCATTCCCAACAGGACTCTTCCCAAGTATAGCATACACGAACCACTCGTGTTCACCCAACGCACGAGTGCAAGAAATGGATGATGGAAGCTACTCGCTAGTATCATCAAATACGAAATGCATTAGTGAAAATGAAGAGGTCACTATCTGCTACCTGGATCTAGTACGGCACCCAATGCTAGTAGACGAACGACGTAGAAAGCTGGACTCTCAATACTTTTTCACTTGTGACTGTAGTATGTGTAGCTTTGGAGTACGAGAGGGTATTAAATGTCCTTGTGGTGGTATGATACGTATTGGGAAATGCTCGAACGGCACCGATTGCTACACCAAGACACGTAATATTGAGGAAAAGGTGGTGAAATTGGTGAACGCCACAAATACAGTCATAAAACGGTTGGATGAATGTCGGATGAGTGAGGTTGTGGTTCTTCAACTCAAACAATTATATGGACGAGCTCAAATATTGTTGGAGTCTGAACACTTTCTGTTTGATTGCTTTGATACGTATTTGGGAGGTAAAATGGACGCAAGTTGTGATTTAGAAGTCTAGTATGATGGATGCCACTAGTGTGTATATATAGATATAATATAATTTATACGTGTCGAATTCGTTGAGAGCTTCGATGAGTGATCTGTACATATATGCCGTGGGCCGGATTTAAAAGGACCGGCATAGAGCGTATACTTAACCAGCTACGCCGTATAGGAGGCTTCAGGTCTCGATCCTGCACGGATAGGCATCTCGTTATTCATCATAGGAGACACTAAAATTCCAAGCTCTGTAGCTCTCTTGGGCAATTTGGAGCAACGCTGCTTGTAGCCGGTTCCTATCTAGCACACAAAGCCGTTATGTAAAAGCTTCAGCCATAGATCTGGCCCTTTTACCCGTGCTTCTGCTTCCAACCTTTTCGGAACTTTCGTTTTCAAACGCAAGGTTTTTCAGCGAGCACTTGGACCACTTGGAATACTACTTGGCCAGTCATGCCACACCGTACGACCAGTTCTGACTATGTAAGTTAGCTTGGTCGATTCAGATTCTCTACTGCTTTGCAAACGTTGCCTGCAAACGTGAATTGGAGCAAAGCATTTTGCATCAGTATTTGGAACTGCTTTTGGGAGCACAAGCGTCTTCTCACGATTGTATCTAACAATTTGTACGCTTTCACAATGTAGATCTTCATGGCCGATAGAGAACCACACCAACCGCACTATCTTGCTGTATACCATCCGACAATACCCACTCCGGCCGTCCACAAACCACAGTTTAGCTCATGGGAGTTTCCGGAGCACGATTTCAGTACTGTAATTCGACAAAATGCACCACCAGTATACTATCAAGAGTATCTGTATATGGATAAATCGCATCCACTTCGAAGCAACACTAACGATTATAGGCTATACATGTCTTTGCCAGACACCTCACTTAATAATGCATCCGATGAGCAGTACCCAACAGTAACAGAGGGCGAGTATTTGACGCCACCGCCTACTCCCGTAACGGCTGATGAGAACGTTTCTCGAGCTCGACGAGGAAGCAAACCGACAGCTCGTGCTGGTGCAGCTGCACGTTCTAGAAGACCACAATCTCCTGAATCTGTGTACGGAGGTGTGAATCAATGCCGTTATTGTGAAAAGTCCTTTTTAAAGTAAGTTGTGTTGTCGAAAAGAGTGGCAATTTCGTAAAAGTGTGATGAACCTAAAAAAACTCGTGTACCACCCAGAGCTTTGGAACCTGAAGAGCCACATGGCGGTACACAGCGAGAGTGCCAATTATGTCTGTTCCGAGTGCAATGGTGGTATGTTGAGCCGTGCTTTTCGATTTTGCGTCCATCGTACTCCTTCTTGATTCGTTTAACAACCTGGTTTCCGATTACACAGGCTTCCGAAGAGCGAACGACTTGCGTCGCCATCAACGGATTCATACAGGTAAATTGAACGGATCTTACAAAGGTTACAAACTTATTTGCTGAATTCTTCCGGATTTGCTAGGCCAGAAACCTTTCTCTTGTGAAGACTGTGGCAAGAGCTTTTCACGGACAGGTTAGAACGCATGCCTGCACAACTATGATCCATACCAAACCCCTGAAACTTTTACTTTGTTAGATAATGCGTCTCGGCACAAATGTCACGGAATAGCAGTGTACAAAACATAGGACTGAATCCAGCTCTTGGTCCACCAAGAAATACCGTTTATTGGACCATATTAAGCACATAAATACTAATATTAGTGATACTCAATAATCACAAACCAAGAAATTCGTCATAGTTGTGAGATCACCTCTGCGTCGATATCGTTGAATTGCACAGTTATACAACTTGCAAACATATTAATATACGATAGGCATCCAGGCCACGAATTTTGTTTGATGATTGCCTCCGTTTCATACGTTGCCGGATTTAGGAGGCGTTCAGAGCCTAGTGTGACAAAAAATGCTTTGCATGCTTTGCAGCAAACTTTCGTCACAACTCCCAACACTTGGAGCGAATCTTGCTTGCATCAAGCGAAAAGGAAGACAGGAATCAACAAGTAAGCATTTGATTTGTCTTCCTGCTGCAGTGATTGGGCCGTTTGCTGTGTTTCTTCCCAGTTTTTGGTTGGACAAAGGGTGGACACCAAGGCGAGCAAAAGCTTGTGCAAAGTCGTGCTCTTTTGGATCATTCTTTGATGGATACATCTACCGTAAGTTCCCTTTACATGCTTGCCACTTTATCGCCACTTTATCCGATGTAGCCTCTTGCCGACTGTTAGCATTGGCAAGCACAAGTGGTCAGTTGCGCAACCACCCAGATTTGGATAGTCTGGCCGATAAACATTTAATCAAATCTACGACTCAACTGAAACCGCTTGCATCTCTAGATGCCATACCCGGATCTCTTTTGGGGTCTTGAAGAGCATCCAGAGAATTACAGCGGAGCTGTGGGCCATGTAGTAGCACCACCACTAATGCCGTATCAGATGCCTCCTTGGCAAGCACATCAGTATCAGCAATATCAGCAAGCTATGCGTTTCTTATATCCTCGACCCATGTATACCGGCTACTTTCATATGGATGACGATTTGCTGAGAGATATGGAAGCAGTACCCAGTATCCGTATCAGCTCGCCAACTACTGATCTGCCTCATCCTCATAACGTAAATGTAATGCCAGCTCCTCCAATGTCCAATTTTGGACTAATGCCAGTACATGATGACGAACACGGTTTATATCCGTATGATAGTAGTGCCATGCAGTCATATCCATCACCTGCACGGTCGGTATCTCATCCGGCAAGCCCTGGTAGAGACCATCACTTGCCTCCCATAATCGTCAACCCAAATGTCATGTCGCAACCTATCCCACCGACGCCACCACCATCACCCATTCAGAAAGTAGATGCTGCAGCTAGTATGCCGAGACGCAGGAAACGCCGTTCTGCCGGCAGCTCGTTGTTCGAATGTCCACATTGTGACAAGTCGTTTGCCAAGTAAGAAAAAAAGTCTGATTTCGGACATAGAGAACGAGGACAGTTGTTAGTGTTTCATTATTATACAACCATTGATATAATCAGAATGAAACACGCGTGACTCACCACATTTCTCCCTTCAAATAGATCCTGGAACTTGCGCTCGCACATGGTCGTACACGAAACTGCTTTGGACTTTGTATGTGATCAGTGCGGCCACGGCTTCAAAAGAATGACGGATTTGAAGCGTCATGAACGTATTCATACAGGTACAGGCACTTTAAGCTGTGCTTTTGTTTGATTGTTTGTGCTAACACACCCGTTTCTTTAGGTGAAAAGAAGTACTCTTGTGAGGTCTGCCACAGAACATTCGCTAGAGCTGATAATGCTTCCAGGTATCGTTTTTCTGAATGTCTTTCTCAATTGAATCGCTCTTTTGAGCAGTGTTTACGTGGATATTTGGAAAATGTCAACAAACAATCAAAATGACGCAACTCTTGATGTAGACACCGTTGTGATGGATGAAGCTAGTTATAGACTTTCAACTTCTCTACAGTGGCAAACGGAAACTGATGGACTTATGGAGAATGACGGTAGTGTGTGTACATTAGAATGACCGAATAAGATAGTTTGTAGTAAAGGCATTTGCTGAAGCAAGTACGAAAAATGTAATGTTGTCTGACATAATGGTATAACGGAACTTAAAATATTAGTGTGCTAAGAAATTTTTAATAAGCCATCTCTTAAGTAGCTCCTTGTTCACTCTTGTTGTATACAAAATTGCGTCAATAGTTGTGGGGCTAGACAGCACAGCACAGGTCGCAATTCACTAGATGGCTCACGCGAATAGAATCGCGATGATCCAACCTGCCGTCTGCAAGCTTAACCGGCGCCGGCCTTCAGAGCCTTCGTTTCTGTGAGACAAGAAATGCTTTGCAGCAAAAAAGGTGTCGAAAGAATCTTTTGAACAAAAAAGCTTTCTCGTTACAGAGAGCAAAGAAGGGATCGAAGAGGTGAGCTCTGTTGCTCGTGTGGTTGCATTCTGGGTGACGTTTAATTGGGTTGTGTTCTTGCCATCTGCCCACCACACAAGGCTAAACAAGGGGTGGATTATCAGGTTGGAGCAGAAAGCTTGTCTGTGTTTGACTGCATCGGGTCATTCTTGCTAGATATATCTACAGTAAGTGCCCTTGCTTATAGACTATTTTGACATCCGTGGGCTGTTAAGGCAACCAGGCGCAGAAATTTGTGCGGGGCAAAGAACAACCACCCAAACTTGGAATGTGGATCCGATAGACCTTTTCAACACATATACTGCCTTAACTGAACCCATTTGCATCTCTAGATGCCATACCAAGCACACTTTTGCGGTCTTCAGCTCCAGCAAGATCATACCGAGTTCTACCATGGATTTGCAGCCAGTACAACAGCACCGCTAGCGACATACCAGATGGCCTCATGGCACGCATATCAGCAACAGCAACAATATCAGCAATCTATGGCAATGTTCTATGCTGGGCATATGTATGACATGCACCTGGACGACGAAATTTTAAAAATGGGTGAGGTACCCAGTACCATGAGCAGGTCTACTATTGGTGATGTGCCTCTCCCTCACAATGTAAATGTAATCCCAACTCCGACGGAAATGTCGTCGAATGTTGTGCATTTGCCAGTACACGGTGACCAGCACGTGCTACATCCATATGGCACCAGCCAGTTAAATCCATCACCAGCACGGTCTGCATCGTATCCAGCACTTCCTGGTCAAGGGCATCATTTGCTACCCATAATCGTCAATGTGAGGTCGCCGCCGACGCCACCGCCATCACCCGTAGAGAAGGTGGAAGCTACAGTAGAAGCTAGTATACCAAAACGCAGGAAACGTCGCACTGCTGGTAGCGCGTTGTTGGATTGCCCACATTGTGACAAGTCGTTCCACAAGTAAGAAAAGTGTCTAATTTCGGACAGGAGAGAGAAGGGAGCAGTTTGTTAGCGGTTGCTCCTTTTACGACTACTGAGATAATGAGGATCTATGATGCGTATCTCACCGTTTTATCTTTACATAGATCCTGGAATCTCCGATCGCACATGGTCGTACACGAAACTACTTTCGACTTTGTATGTGATCAGTGCGGCCACGGCTTCAAGAGAATGACGGATTTGAAGCGCCATGAACGTATTCATACAGGTATCGTAAACCTCAGTTACTTCCTGGGCTTATGTGTTTGTTAAAGCGTCACGTGTATATATGTTCAGGAGAAAAGAAGTACGCATGCGAGGTCTGCTACAGGAAGTTTGCTAGGGCTGATAATGCTTCCAGGTATGGTGCTTTTGATTGTTATCTCGTACTGAGCTACTTATTCCAGCCATAAGTGGAAACTTGAGGAAACTGTTGAAGCCCAACAATCAATCTGACGCAATTGCTAATATAGACACCGATGTGAAGGGCCGATCTAGCTATGAGCCGTTGCCATATTGAAAGCTTAAGGAAAATAGTGAGCGGGACAACATTGTGTGTATAAATTTGAAAGAAACGACCAAAAACCTGTGCAGTGCAAAAGTTATCAATTAACTATAGCAGTTGAGAATGTTTGATATAATTGGAAGAAAGTAGTTATGGTGAAATCATTAGTGAAATAAGATGAATTCGTTGTAGTGCCCATGTGCTTCGCACAATCCTTTTTGCTGTTTTTGTGGGGCTTGTGACTTGTATCCGCCGACCAATCAGATTCGAGGCATGCTCTTTTCAAAAACGTGGTCTTTAGGACAAACACCCCATCGTTTCGAGCGATTCGATTATTTCAAAGGTACGTTCCGACTAGATCCCATTCCAAAACTACCATACCTATAACATACGTGCTACTTTAGATGAGTGCATTATAACCCAATCTCCATTTGCTTCAACACCAAGAACCGCAACAGCCAAACACCCCCAACAACAAGTCATGGTGCAACTGATATCCTACTACCCACCTCTTATATTCGCAGTCCTATCAATCGCATACCACTCGTCAACACTCCCAGCCAGAGATTCTTCTGCTGGCAAAAACACAGGCTTCACATTCAACCTAGTGAATGCACCACCAATTGTGCCGATCAATGCACAAGATGAATGGAGGAATGACTTGTTGATGGTCAAGCAGCCACGTGAGGACTGGAAATTGGATCTAGTTGGAGAGGAGGCGTTGAGTGTCGATTTCTTGCATGGGGTTGCGAGTGGTGACCCGACGAGTGATTCTGTCATGTATGAAAATGTTTTAATGTTTTAAAAACTATCAAGAGGCTAATTGTGATTTCTGTATTAGAATATGGACGAAACTGACACCAACAAGCACCCACAATCCAATCCTCGTACAATACGAGCTATTTGCAGACGGCGCCTCAGATATATCCAAACCACGAACTAGAATACAATACGGAGTTGTATTAACCGATAACGATGTTGATTATACAGTCAAAATCGACGTAAACGGGCTAAAGGCGTCAACTAGGTATTTTTTCCAGTTTACAGCACTCTCGTCACCAACAGGAAGCAAACAAAATACGACAGTACTTGCTAAATCTGTTATGGGATCTACAAAGACATTGCCGGCCAAAGATGAAGATGTTGCGCAAATGAAGGTAAATACGTGAATTTGTGAGCAAACGACAGTGACGACCATGCTGATCATATGAAATAGATTGTAGTAGTGAGCTGCTCCAATCTTGCGTGGGGATTTTTCAATGGATACGCATCTGCTGCAAGACATGGGGATATTGATTTGGTGATTCATTTGGGTATGTAATGTGTGACTTAGACACCAAACGTTGCCATGAAAATACCATATATTTTCAAACGAATCCTTCATAATGGCATGTTCGCTCTGAAGAGTGTTTCATGCAAATCTGTGGCTTTGTTCTAACAGCCACCCATATTCTTCCAAACATAGGAGACTACATTTACGAATACATGAATGGAGAATACGGTGACGGTACATCCATGGGTCGCATCCCAACACCTAACCACCACCTCCTCACATTACAAGACTACCGCATACGGCACGCCCAATACAAGACAGACCCAGATCTCCAAGAACTGCATTTGAACACTCCCATGATTGCCATTTTTGACGACCATGAATTTTGGGACGATGCGTTCAAACCTCATACGGATCCTTTACGAAATCGTGTAAAGGGCGCTATACGAGCTTATTTCGAGTACATGCCGATACGGCCGTTAGGAAAGAATGACGAGTCAAGGATATATAGGAGTTTCCAGTTGGGGAAGCTTGCGGATTTGATAATGCTTGATACGAGGATTGAAGGGAGGGACGAGAGTGGTGTTTGGGATGGTGAGATTGTTGGTGATGCTAATAGAACAATACTAGGTACGGTTTGTTGTTAGCATCCAACAATGTAGATGCATTCCAACCTCCTTTTACACCTAGGCTTTGAACAAGAACAATGGCTATACAACGAGCTCCTCACATCCCAATCCCGTGGTGCACAATGGCGACTCTTGGGAAACCAAGTCGTCTTTTCACCACTCCAAGCATGGGAACAAATTCTGAATCCTGATGCATGGGACGGGTACCCAGCTAATCGACAACGAGTGTTGGATGTGCTTGAGAATGGGAATGTGGATAATGTTGTGTTTATGACTGGAGAGTAAGCGCTCTCTTCATTAAACCTGTGAGAACAAAAAAACTCATTTTACTTGCTTCTGATAGCATTCATGCAGCATTTGCCTTTGACGTTACCCTGCACCCAACCCGCCCATCCCACTATAACGCATCCACCGGCAAGGGATCCGTAGCCGTCGAGCTCGTGACACCATCAATAGCATCCCCCTCACCACTGGAACATATCGCTTTGATCGGCGACTACCTTTCCACACCATCAGTCAGCCTAGTCACGTCGATGGAGCCGCACCTAAAATTCACGGATTTGCTTAGACATGGATACATGATTGTCACATTGACACCAGAGATTCTGCAATGCGATTTCTGGTTTAGTGAGACTATTAGAAGGAGTGATGCCAGTAAGAGGCTTGGTGCGAGTGTGTTTGTTGAGAGGGGGGCGAATAGGATCACAAAGGTTGTGCAGTATCCGTTGTAGAGACTTAGAGATAGAGGGACAGAGATACCAGCATCTGTAAATTCGTTATAGAACATAATTTTAACTCATAAGTTTATCCATATAGTAGTAGTCTTGTGCATACCTTAACCACACCATTTAATATCGTCTGTGAATAGTAGAATTATACCATTGTTGTTAAAACAAATAGAGCCATAGTTTACCCAGAGAATTAGTCCTTTACTTGCATATTTCATCCCGTGCACCGTCTTGAATTCCAATCAAGAAAATATAACAAAGTTATATACCAAAAACCAATATATAATCGACAAATCCACAACCATAGAAGAAGTAAAACTCTCCCTCGCGAACGCAGTCCACCGATTCATACCCAAAGCCGACACATGCCCCATGTATAATGTTGGTTTGTAGTCGATGATTGCAACAGTAACTAAGTAGTGGAAGTCCAAGTACAAGGAATCTGTTTGGGTAACTTTTTTGCGCTCAGCTGCTTCAAACAATGTCCAACCAATCCACATACCTTTACGAGGCCACAGTACCCAAATGGAATGGGCAGGCCTTGTTCCCACGGTGTATCGACACTGGACCAACAAAAACCAAGACAGAATTCCACAATGGGCTTCAACAACACCGCTCAATAATCATTTTTCAATCCCAAGTCAATCTCATCCATTGGCTTTGATTTCTATTCACGAGTGCTTCGAGTTTGGGCGTATGTTGCACCAAAGAAAAGAGGTCATGGTGTTGGTAGACGGGAAGATGGTGACTTGTTCCATGCATACAGATGCAGAGTGCGAGGGATTACAACATTGGTTCAAATCCTGTCCTTTGAGGGCTGATTTATTTGGCAAATTAATTTACCTTTGCCAGTGAAATGAATCTTGATTCGTGGTGCAATGGTTTTTGTGCTTCAACAAAAACCAGATCCAAAAAAGGGACTTGACAGTGTGGTTCCTAAAGTCGCTTAACGACCTTCCCGTTTTGCTCCCAGCTGCCATAAATCTAAGATTCAATCCACATCACCATCTCCATCAAATTTCTAGCAGCAAGCCTTGTACACAGCTCAACCCATTTATATTCAAACCATTGATTTTGCAAAACAAACAGACCCAGAGTGAACATCAACTTCATATCTATGTATTTCAGAGCGTTTTAAATCCCTAACACAATAAAATGGGGTTTCAACATTCACGGACAGCGAAAAAAATCCCTATGCAAATCATGTCATATGACGATTAGCCAAACTCACCATCAATCGCCTCAGTAACTGCAAGCGAAACGTCCCAACAAAACTCAACAACTTGCTTCGTTCCTGGTTTCATCTAAAAGCAGAAAAAAAAAGATTCGTAAAAGTCTACTCCATTTCCATCCTGAAATGCAAAACCACTAACCTTCAACGTATACTCAAACTTGCCCTCCCTCTCGACATACTTGACTCCCACCTCGTTCCCAGCATCCACGTAACTAGCGACAGGTTTCGCGACAGTAACGTCAGGCTTCACAATCCTCACAACCAGTTTCTCTTCACTTGAAATCGGAATCTGGTCTACGAGGTTCAATGTGATTTCCTGCTGTTTGGTATTCTTGATTTCGATTGCTTGGGTGTAGCGAGTGACGTTGGAGCGTTGGAGTATACCAGATGTTTCGGTTTTTTTGGAGACTGGTTTGTAGGTTATGCGGATTGTGTTGTCTATGCCAAGGGATGATTCGAATTCTTCTTGTGGTGCGACGCTCTGAGTAGCGAGTAAATTCGGGGTGAGGTTTTGGTTAGGTCTTCAACAATAGCGAATGGCTCGCATAGTTCATTGTTTTGCATTACCTTGAGAGAAGCCTTACAAACAAACGAGTCATCGAGGAAGATGTTTGCAGGCCCAGCGAGTAGGGCATACTCGGAATCATTCTTGACTGTGGCTTTCAAGAATGCTTTGGCGTCGATTTTGGGGACGGATGTCCATGTGAAGGTTGGTTTGTAGTCGATGATTGCGACAGTGACTAATTAGAGGGTACGTCAAAACGATCGAATATACGTTTTTCCCCTTGAAGACGACGTGAAAAAAATACCTTTATGAGGCACATTATCAGAAGGAATCGTAGCTTTGGATGGTATTTGATACTAAAACGCCAAACACTGTCAGCAACTGCACGAAGAAAAACCATTAAGAAAGTCGAAAAATCCACTCACAGTAGTAGAAGTCAAACTCTCCCTCGCAAACGCAGTCCTCTGATTCATATCACTAGCCGACTCCTCATCCATCAACAACATATCCTGCGACATGGACCCACCACCACCAGGTGCTTGCGCATATGAAGCCATCATTGGAGCAGCAGACATGACCATTGGAGGTGCTGGCGCACCACCAAAAGCCATATTTGGAGATGATCGACGAGCAGACACCATTGATTTTGATTTCTTTTCCATCATTGGGCGAGGTTTTGGGCGAATGGAGACGTACCAGGGAGATAGTTCTGGTGGATCGCCGCCACTGTTGAAAATGGTGTTAACAGCGGAATAAAGTAATGGTGGTAAACGGCTAATGCTTACACCGCAGGAGTTGCAGTAGAGAGTGCAAGCGACACATCAGTCCAATCTTCACCTGTAGATTGTTTGATTTCCGCCTTGTATGTCAATTTCATTGCTTTGCTGTCGGTGAATACTCTGTTGAAATGTTGAAAATGTTGAGCTCTAGTACAAGGCAAAATGCAAAAAAGGAGTAGTTGTATTACCTAATGTCGAATAACGATGTCCACGATGCTCTCGTTACGATATAACTGAGAGTCAAATCCACATCACCATCCTTTTCAGCATCAAGGAGTACGACGACTTCGACTACATTCTCTTGAGTAGAGTATGATTGTGAGCCCATTTGATTCAAGTTCATCTAAACCATGATGGGATGTTAAACTTCCAGCTACCAATATAGTACATCAAACGTTGCACCAACTACTAAACTCACGTTGATTCCATACTTTTCCTCTTCCAACGCCGTGACCTCCTCGGCAATTTCAGCCTCTCGTTCATCAAACACCTCCCACTTTCTCGCCAAACTAGCGACGAAATCCACCAACCCCTCGACCACCTTCCCTTCCAACATTGCCGGAGCACCCTGGGTAACAGGCGTTGCATTTGCTTGCACAGGCTTGTTTGTCGTAACAGCATCAGCATAGTCATTAAACAGTTTGCGTTGTCCGTCCACCCGTTTCTTTTCATTTGCAAGTGCCTTGACTTTGATGTCGATAGCCTTGATGCGAGATTTGAGCTTGTCGACTTCTTTCGAGTCGGATACAGGTTCCTTTGTGACCCATTTTGACGTGAAGACGACATCGAGGATTGTAGCGTTGCCACGGCCTTCGACTCTGATACTGTCCTTGTCGATGTAGGTGGGTAGGTTTTTGATTTTGACCTATAGGAATGTAAGTTGTCAACAATGTAACGAGACGTATCATAACAAGTCTGTGTGGGTATTTGATGTTGGGATGGTTTGACGGCAAACCCACGTCAAGCCGCACCGCCAACCGTGGAAATATATACTTAAATATGTAATATCTACCAATACAATGACATACCTCGTTTTGGCCGACAAGGAGAGCCTTCCCCGTGAATATTCTAGTGACTTGAGCCCGATCACTGAACACGACGACGGAGGAGACCTTTTCCTTTTTAGCATCAATGTCGACAGCATTTGGAGTGGCTTCGACGGTATTGGCTGCACCAGTGGTGGTCGAGTCAGTAATGGATGCCATCCTCGCTATGGAATAAATGGCTAGATGTTTGGTTGATTTGGTGACTTGGACGAGATGACAGCACGGAGAGCAATAGTAAGGGGACACGTTCCTATTATTGCGCGTATGTATACTATTACTAGCCACGTCTTTGCAATCCACTATACACCAACACGTGAAAGTCACCCATCATCAACAACGTTGCAAACCCCAACACTCTACAAACCAACTACAATGTACTGGAACAATCGCCTTCCCTCGATGATCCCCTACAACGGCACGTGCATCCAGCCATCCACGGCATCCATCTGTCTGACCGCATTCTGCTTTGGCATCCTCGTCGCTTGGTCCTCCTACATATTCGCACTCGCAATCGTCCTGCTGCAAAAGAATGGATCAAAAGCAATCTATATATTGAATGTACTCCAAGCTGTACTGATCCTCCTCAAGATATCTGCTGCGGCTGTATACTCGATCGGGGATGACTTGTACTGCTATCCAAGATCATGGCTGACTTCCATCCCTGTTGCCGTCGCTAATGAGTTGGTGGTATGTACAACATGGGATGGCTTTCATTGATGATTGTATTGTATTGTAATGTGTCCTATTATGTCATGTTGATGATATTGTATTCCTTATAAGGACCTCAACTCATTCTCACTAGTACGTGATTCTACTCTTGACCCTCCTCGTCATGACCCCATTCAAGAAACTATGTATAGCCATATTCGCAATCGTCCTATCCTCCCACTTTGCTATCACCGCCGCCGGCGTCGCTATTGCCATCCGCGCAATAGACTCTTCGGCAAGGTGCACTGATACTTACAATGGCTTCTACAAGCAGCAGGTATGCTGTATATTGGTATTGTGAGGTGGAATTGCAAGTGTTGGCAATTGAATGTCTTTTGAATGCTTATTTGTTGTTGTGCTGTAAAGTCGGGTAGAGTAATGTAGTGCCAATTCATGAATGTGACGTGGCACTCAAAATTTGGCGTCGTGCTTGATGGTGTATTTAATCTTGTTTTGTATAATGACATGGACGCGGCATCCCAAGTTTGCATTCCAACTTCTCACTATGTCTTTTTTTTGTGCTTTTGTCATTGCAAGAATGCGTTCGTTGACCGCTTTATAAAGTGCAATTTGGCTGCCAGTCAGCAGTCAGATGATAGTGACACGGCCACCATATGTGCTTTCCTGCCCCTTGAATTTGTCTTTTTTTGTTGTTTGTCAAAAAGCCTTCACAACACCCCTCCCTCTCTCTTTTATAGTACACACTGGAAGCCTTCCTCGAAGTATTCACCCTCATCATGCTCCTCCACGCCCTCAATGCAATGGTAGGCCACGGCTCCACAATCCTCGCCAAAACAGAATCAATCCTCAACGAATTCAAATCTAATGCCGAATTACGTGTCTATTTGGTCCTAATCGTCATTGGGATGAAGATTGTTCATACGTGGGCTTTCAATGGAGGGTTTATGATTGGGATTTATAATAGTATTACAGTGAGTTACAAGGGCTTGTGTGTTGCATCTTGACTGCTTTGAACTGCTTTTTTTTGGCTAACTCATATCGACGATTAGTTCACTCACGCGCTTGATCTCGCTCGCTCTCATATATGCTGCTGGGCACTGGAACGAGTCAAGCGACGTCTGCAAATGAAGGCAAAGAGACCTTCTACTACTGGGTTTCTTCGACCAATGGCTGGTGTTGAAATCGCTGCTGATTTTAGCCCGTCTCCTCAAACTATTGATTCGGTACGAGCGTGATATGTGTTTGAGTGAGGAGGGGTGGAGTTTGGTAAATCACTCTTTCAGAAAAGTTGGGGCGGCCAAAGAAGAGTATATTTGTATGTTCGCATTCATGTTGTATATTATGAAGTTGATCCTTACTGTTTGCAATTACACGTAAACAGTAAAAAACCTTGTGTGTAAAACTTTTTTAAATAATGAAGAATCCTCATTCGTTTTGTAACAGCAATCAAATATATTGAGCTTTAAGTGTTTACGAGTCGAATTTTGTAACCAAAAAAAAAGACCAAACCATCCAACCGTGATCACTTCCCATCCAAAAACTCCTCAATAACACCCAGCCCCTCCCCACCATCACTATCATACATAATATGCCCATGTCCCCGCAGCACATACCACCTCGCATCCGGAATCGCCTTCGCAATAACATCCCCCTTCTCAACCCCAAGCAGCCGGTCCTTATCCCCATGAATAACCAACGTCGGAACACTCAGCTTCCTAATCTCCTCCGTGACGTTGAAATTCGCACATGCGCGGATTTGCGCGAGGGTTATTTCTGCTGGTCTGCGTCTACGAGCCACATATTAGCACAAAATCCATATACGATTGAAAAGGTATTACTTACTTGCTCAAATTAAAATCAATCAGATACTCGACCTTTTTCGGATTCGCGTGCATCCATTCCGGCGGGTAGTTGAGCGAGAGCGTTGCATGGAGTGCTTTGCGCTTATCCTCCATTGTTACGGTACTAGTCTGCGTGTTTAGCGCGGATTGTAGCTGTGATGGACCCGGGTCGACGGCAGACGCCGTGCCGTACAGGACGAGTTTGCGGATGGATATGTCGGTGCGACCGTGCAGGAGGAGTGCGACTTTTTGAGATATCATGCCGCCCATCTGTGGTAAGAAAAATGGGTGTTAGAGCATTGTTACATTGAAAAAAAAACACACAACACGAAAGTTTGGATGTCGGATTGTGAGACTTGTGGGGGGGTTTCATTCGCTTACAGAGTTTCCTAGCAAGTCGAAAGACTTGAATTTCAGGGCTTTTGCGACGTCGATTACGTCTTGAGCCTGTAATAAGAAGGTGAGATTAATTGACGCAACCAAAGAGAGTGACAGATGGGAATGTGTACCATGCGATCTAACGTAATACCCCTCTCTGTACCAGCAGGACAGAACGAGTCATTGATGCCCCGATTGTCGATTACGATTACGGGGCGTTTGCGTGATAGTGCTGTTGCCAAAATGTTGGATGTCAAATGTGAAATGTTTCATTTAAATAGTAAGCAGGGGGGGCCTACAGAATCCGAAATCTCGCCAGTCTTCTTTAACACTGTATAAAATTCAAATTAGCTTCTTTTTTATAATAGGCAACAAACCATTACAAGAAACAGAAATGCAAAGTACCCGTTGAGTCCACGAACCATGATGAGAGGCACATTTTTCGATGTGGTTGCGTCGATTATCTTGTATGCGATTTTGCAGCCGTCTGGATATGTGATGAATTTAACTGACATGGTGGCCTAGGACGTTATTTGGATGTGTTGGGTGGTGATGTTTGGAGAAGTAGCACTTTTGGAGGGTGTCACCAACTGTTTTCATGGTAGATTGGAAAGGTGCCAGGTTTTTGCGCAAGGGTATTTGAGTTGTTGAATGGGGCTTTTTGGTATCGCGCTATTATTTTGAGTGCAATGAGAGGGCTTCCACGCTGCGATCGATACGAGGTTTGATGAGGAAAACAGGGATATATGGAAGGTTTAAAAAACCACGTTTATAGTACGGCCACTCTCAACATCACAAGCTGAATATGCTGTATTTAAGCAAGGCGGTTTTTACGTTATCAAAGAAAACGTTAACTTGTTCTGGAAACAAAACTGGATTTTCCCTCATTTGTTAATCCAACCTGTAAATGTGAAAACACCAACCCCCCCCCCCCCCCCCGGGAAAACTGATTACTGGGTAACAAGCCACAGCCAACTGCCTTGGATTGTCCTTGAGAAACAAGGACCATCATCCAAGACTTTGACAAACCACTTCAGGTAGTCGTTTTGCGATATCAGGTGGTTGGCGAGCTTTTGAAATGTGACCTGCAGTAATAGCATGACTGGTGAGTGCATGTTAATACAGTTGGCATAAATCCATTTGAATTTCATTTTTATTGCGTCCATCACCGACAAGCAACCAAGGAAGAATTACAATGGCACTTACTTGATGATAACACCTCCCAGATACTGATCACTAAAGTCAGCACAATATCGAAAGCAACAAGCTTCAGAAAGCCCATTCGTCTCTTGACTTCCATTGGTTATTCCTGTACCTTTCGTTTCAGCGATAAATCAGCTTTGTGAGCACCTTGCCGTTTCTTGAGCCTCAATAATGTTGTGGTTGCTGGTGATGTGTTAAGTTATCTTGCACCAAAACGAAGAATTGCGTGGGTTGCAATCGTCTTTTCTTTTGTGCGGGGCAAATGCACCAAAGTTTGCTTGTTATCTACATTGAGTCAATGCCACGAGAGATGTATAGTCAATTCAGACTGTCGAATGCCTAGTTACAGGATAACATGTTAGCTACATTGCAGATAAGCAAAAGAAGTCGTTATAGAAGCTGTACAGTCCTGAATACGACTGGAGCCCAACAATACAATGCATGCTGGATTTGACGTTGACTTTCTTCCATAGCACCAACTGGTCCCATTCCCTATGATACGAATAGATTACAGCGAGAGAAAAAACCTACACCTTCTCTGTACGAATCATAGGTTGTGACTGCACACTTCCTTTACCACGGATTGAGAGAAACGTGTCTTGTAAGCAGCATGCAAACAGCATGACAAGCATAACAAGTAAATTAAAATTCAAATTCAAAGTAAAGGGTGGGTTGATTTTCATGACAGCGACAAAGAGAACCAAATCACATCGATAATATCGATATGGTTGCGACCTTGCCACTCGGTCCAGTCTCCATTCCAAACAACCTCAAAAGCAAACGGAGAAACCACATCTCGTAACCGAAATTTTACATTGTTGGGGGTAAGCGTAACTCACTTACTTTGTTGGATGTCTTGCCCAACCAATTCGAGATGAATATCGTTAAAATACAGCATAAGAAATTTCAGGCTTCATGTCTCTGGATACATGGTCCACCGTCGAGTAATGGGCATTTATGCTGGTTTATCTTGACAGGTTGACCATCTTGCTCAAACCATATATGCTCTTAATCAATTTCCGTTGATTGTATCCTCCGTCATATCGTGCCCAACAAAAGAAATGTTGAAGAACGAGAAGTTGAAGGCTTCAATTTACAAAACACCACCACTCCATAATTGGGTCTAAATGACCCATAACAAGTCATCTCTTTTAAATGATATCGCCTTTTGTACTTTAGCAATTCATTATCGTCACTTTTACATTTGTCTTCGTGATGGATTGCTGTTAAGCGCCCGTTGGATATACGGTAAGCCTCCGTTCTGACCGAAAGAAATCGAGAAAACAACAACGATCTGAATTGGTGAAGGAATTAGTCAACTTTGAATCTTCCCATCACAATTGTATTTTTTTGTTGTTGTCACCATACCATCTCCATACGGCTGGGTAACAACTACGAGACCTTCAAAGTTAAATACCAGCTCGGCAGGTTCACATGGCGTACAAGCGACTCTGACTGCATATTGCATTGAGGGCTGTAGGGAACTACCAGAGCACGACGGCGAGGATGTGTTAATTTTCTCCTTGCATAAAGAAGTTTACACCAAACTGTGGAAGGCATTGCGTCGGAATTCGTGAATTCACAGGTGGTTGACTATACTATTACTGGTTATCAGTGCCTGTTCTTTGGCGTCGGCAATGGGCAGTCTTTAAGAGCAAACCCAGCCATATGCCCTTATGAACGAGGCCATGTGATTTTGAAATAACGATCAAAGTAGCTCACAGCTCGCCCCTTTGCAAAACTGTTTTACAACGTGTAGCGATGATAACATGTGTGCTGGATCTTTCGGCATTGGGCTGCTTTCGAGCGCGTTTGGGCCAGTCAAAGATTACAACAATAAGCTTCTATTATCAAATCAAGAGCGGTGTGAGTATTTTACAGCTGCGATCGATATGAATCTGGCAGCAAAACCATTCAAACACGAAAAACGAAACTCTTGGGAATCACGTATGAAATACCAGGCCAAGGGTGACCACTGTGACCACTTACGTATCGAAAGACGATTGACTAGTTTCAGAGGGCTAATAAAGAGTGCCCAAGCATTTCTTACACCTCGTCCAGAAAAACGAAGGGCAAACTACTATTCCCGAACCTTTTCCCGTGACACTTGCAAGCACCACGAAAACCGTTGCAAGAGCTGTGAGAGAAAGGAAGCAAAGGTACGTCTTATACTGCGTTGTAGCTTGAACTTGTAGTTCTATTTACTTGGTTTCCGACGTGTGTTTGGCCAGCTACCATGACATTGTACTCTGAAACGAAACGGACAAACTAACATTTTGCGATTTCTTATCATAGTTTCTATATCGACTTGACCAAATAACTCATTTCGTCATGCCTCCAAACGTTGAATTCGAATCCTTCCCGGATGACGCTGACTCTAAAGTGGTCCACGAATATGTGCCATCGGGAATTTCCATGCTACCCAAAATGACTGGTCGAGAGTGAGTGTGTCGCTAATTGTATAGTATTTGTATATTTCTAACGGTTTTCCATCTCAGCACTCCCGCTACAGGTGTCGACAAGTGGTTGGAATGTCGACGAGCTGATGACAAGGTTCCTGACAATCTTTGGAGAGTACATGACACTTTGGTAGGGATCGTTGCATTTTTGTTAATGAAACTTTATCTGGAAAATGCTCGCTATTATGGTGTCTGTTGCCGAGAGTATTTGAACGAATCATATCTGACTTGCTCTCCTTTACCTAGTATGATTTGACAGACTTCCTCCCTAAACACCCCGGAGGACCTTCTTGGCTTGTGTAAGCCAACCTGTAATAATGGCCAGCCTTGGAAAATAGTTTTCGCTGATTCGTCTTTCCTTGATATTATATTAGACGCTTACGCGGCACAGACATCACAGAACCCTTTGAAGCCAGTCACTTGCAGATTGAAAACGTTCGAGCCATCTTGAAAAAGTATAAAGTTCGAGAAGCTGATACTCCTCGATACTCGCCCATTACTTTCAAAGAGGTAATAAAACTCACTCATGACCTGGAATGTGTTCTGACAAATAATCGCAAACAATAAAATAGGATGGATTCTATGCAACATTAAGAAGACGATGTGCCCCTATAATCAAAGCAGCTGGCAAAGCCCCTTTAAAGCAATCACAACGTATTGCTGATTCCTTCCTTGCTGCCTTCATTGTATTGATGACTGCTACTGCATACTTTAACAGTTTCGCATTGGCTGTTGTTGCTGGTGTTGTTGCCGCATTGTTGTCGGTGACTTCTCACAATTATGGTCATCAAGGTAACCAGTGGTTGATTATTTATTCAAATTCCAAGAATTCTAAAAGGATTTTACAGGCGACAACTTTAGAATGTACTATATGGACCTGACTGTGCTCAACAATGCTGATTTTAGAATGTCCCATGCTACTAGTCACCATGTAAGACCGTTAATCTATTCACCGGGCCATTTTTTAGCGGCCCACTAATACATGTGCAAAAAACACAGCTTTATCCAAACACAAACTGGGACTTGGAGCTCTGGGGACTCGAAGCAACATGGCCTCTCCTACCAATGACACCAGTAAACGAAGGAAAGCACACAACCAGCTTCCTCAAAACCCAACTCCTCTGGTTTATTGGTCTCCCTATATCTTGGGTTGTGCGCATGAAGGGGATGTTTTGGGATGGCAAGGAAGTAGTCCGTCCCGAACGATTCTTGATGCTCATTGAACTGTGGTACATGTTCAAAGTCTCAAACAGCTATCTATACCCAATTCCATTATTTGCTTTGATGCATTGCTGCAGTGCTTGGACTCTATTGTCCGTTGGCATGTACGCTTCCCATCACGTTTCAACCGATCATGGAACATCTTGGCATGCAGCTGACGATAACATGCCCACTGATTTTGGGCTTTTGCAAGTCGAAACTACGTAAGTTGTTGTTCGTTATTTCAGCTTGGATGACTCGTTGATCACTCTTTTGTTCCATCTAGATCTGACAGAATTGAAGTTTTGGGTAATCCTACTCTAAACCTTGTTAGTTTTGGTGATCACACGTGAGTATTCCCGATGGCACTGCCCAGAATGATTAAAAAAGACTCTCTGACAATAATTCGTTTTCCAGTCTACACCACTTGTTCCCAACATTGGATCACGCCTACCTTCCTCTCTTGTATTCTCCTTTGGTTAAGACTTGCAAGGAGTTTGGGGTTGAATTTACGTTCACCACCTATATGGACCACATAAACGGATGGTAAGCCTTTTGGTGAGACCTTCCATAGGACTGAGTCTGATCTGACACGTCTGTTTTTCGTAGGTTTAAACAATTGACTCGCAAGGAACCACAAAAGGATCTAGTTCGAGTAGGACGCGCTGTCCAGAAGACCAAGAAAGAGGAATAAAATCTCGTGTCTTGTTGTAGTTTAAACCTTGTAGTATGCCGAAATTAGACTTCAACGGTGTGTGTATTGCAGCTTAGTTTGAAGCGATTGGGCCGTAAAGGAGTGAGATTGCGATCGACATCATAGTTCTAGGACATAGAAAATTGTATTACGTCGGCGCTGGTAGAGTTCTTGGCCTGTTGTCCCTTGGATTTGGACTAGTTGAAGGTGAGCTTCAGGAACGCCGTGCTGTATATCGTAGATGACATTGAAGCATCGTCAATAGGCTATTTGAGTACTTATAAATTTGCATTCTAAATCTCTATATTCTATTCCATGTGCATTGGTGGCTGCTCTGTACTGTTTGCAAGAGATTATGTACGTATCGGTGATCATAGGAGGGTCCTCAAGTGGCAGGACAGCTCTTGAAATGGTGGATTTCTATCATGGAACATCTGTTCCTCTTAAGCAAAGAGCTTTTAAATCGACATCAAGACATCAAACTCTGAATTGTTAAGAAATCAGTCGAAGCTTCGCTGACAAACTTCCAATTTCGAATAGCTTGAGAGACATCAATTTGTATTGCATCAAACGATATAATCACAATATGGCCACTCCCCGTTCGTTACCTTTGGTAGTGCTGGACTGCATCATCGAGCACACGCACAGAACCACAATATACTCAACCGCTCTAGTATCAAAAGACTGGAATTCGGCTGCAATTAGAAAGCTATATAACAAAGTCGACGTCGGATGGCACGGCTTTATCAAATCCTTCAACTTGATCATAAAAGCAACCTCCTCAAACAAACCCGTATTCTCTCAAAACCCATTCATTTACACGAAAAGTCTTACACTCGTTATCTGGCCCGAAGGAGTGTCTCATGCCCGTCATCTGCTTGGAAAAGCTCTTCTCTCGTCCTGTAGAAATATAACTACACTCAACATTGGAACAGATCAGCTCTCACTCTTGGAGCATGTATCTCCAACTCTGGTATCCCTAAACATATTTCCAGGGTCTACAGAAGAATTTCCAGAAGTGCTCTCGCTAGAGGATTGGTTGCAGTTTGCTGCTGACCATCCTAGTTTGAGCGGATTGGAATTGAACGTCCCTTTTCCTCCAGGTCTGAATGCAGCACTAGAGAAATGGAATCTCAGTAGTTTTATCATAGAAAACGAAGGTGGTTTCGACGCCGACGGATGGATGTCATTGGTCAAGGGAAGCAAACTATCCCTCCGTAACCTTCAAATAAATAGCACGCAGGCTATGATATATTGTGCTGAACATGGATCATTCTCCAACTTGACCAGTGTGTCATTTGCAGAAAGCAGATTGCCGACGGGCTTTTTTGAATCTCTACACGAATGTTGTCTGAAGGTCTTGGAACTCTTTAGTGTTGAAGGGATGGATGTCCGAGGTACAGGCACTCGCAACTATGTATTCTTCATAATTACTAATTGGAACTTCCCCTAGATCTAGAGACTTGCTTACTTCAGAGCTCGGAAACATTACAAACGTTGCACCTATCTTTTGATGATCCAATTATAGAGCAGGCTATATTTCTTGAAAGCCGCTTCACATCATTGAAATCCCTTACCATATCTGATAATGATGCTATCATTGGTGGTCTCTTTATGTTATCAAAGCCTTTAGGGAGTCTCACCACACTCAACCTCTACGTCGATATACTCGAAGGACAGTTGGATTATGGAATCATACCAACGATCTTGCCAAATCTGCAGGAAATCAAGCTAACTGCAGCCGGTAACTTGGATTTGACTGATGAGCATATGGGCAAACTCGTAACAAGACTCCCAGACTTAAAGTCTATATGCTGCATCTCTGCTGATGCCGACGACGAAACCAGTAATGGTAGTGACGATGACAATGATCGTGATTCTGAAAGTGATGTCGATGATGATTATAGTGAGGACGACGATACGGACGATGATAACGATAATTGCAATAGTTGTGGCTTTGGTGAGTATGATTCCGATGATGAGGTTTACGGCACTCCAATCTTGTATAGTATTGCTTTGACGACTCTGATCTCATTACGATCGTCAAAGTCTCCAGCATTGAAACTTAAGGGAAAGGGAACTATACTATTTGTTGGACCAATTGCTGAATCTGTATCAGGCTGTCGTCGAGAACAAGGCAATCAGCTGCGAAGACGTGTAGCTGTTGATACCAATCGCAAACTGCTTATTGGCCGTGGTTGGAAGTGTCGTGTATCTTAAAGGGCTATAGTCTATTAGGTTGGATTCGGAAACTGTGCCTCAATGTCCTGGCCACGCACAGTAATAGAAGTTGAAAATGATTGCACAATATACAATATTGCAATTTAGCTGTTTAATCTGCCAACACCAGCAGCGAGTTCATCGGCGGACGCGTTGAATCCGTCATTGGGTTTGATGTTCTAAGGAGGTTACGTTTGTAGCGTCAGGCCGTCAAGGTGTGAGATTAGAGTGAATATTGTAGTTCTACGACATACAGAACTGTATTAGATCGGACCGGTGAGAGTTCCTCGTCTGCTACCTCGTGGATTTGAAAGTGAGGGTTTATATAAGAAAAGGCCAGTGGACGCAAGCACGACTTGGAGAATTTGGCAAACTGAGAAGCTTGTTCATTGTCCGACTTTCGTAGTCTTTAGAACACGTAGAATGTGCCTTATTCGACAGATTCAACCAACAAATGTCAAAGCTTGAAACTTCTACATTCAACTATTCAAAACACCAAAGCTGCAACAGCTTCAACAGCCTTCAAGAAGGCACCCACCACCCTGACGCATCACGTCACGAATGCCAAACGTATTTCACGTACAAGCGGCGAAAGTGCTCATATTTAAACCTTGCAATGCATCACATTGCCAACCATGTTCGTACATTCCCACTCTTCACCCGAAAACAATGATGTCTTGAAAAGCATCCCAAACAACCCACAGTAAACAGAGAGAGAAGAATGCTGTCATCATCCATGGAGCCAAAAGAAAAGCAGATCGTAACGATATCGGACTCTGTCATTGACAAGGTCGTAATTTTCACCAATCTAGTGCAAGTAAATCGCATCTTTAGAGCTCAGTTGAATGGAGAGCAAGGAACGATTTGTTTGAGAGGTTTGCCTTCTTGCTTGAGTAATCTTAGGTATGCATCAACTAGTCTGGGAGTTCGCTCTTTTTTTCTGTCAATGTTGTTGCGCATTGACTCACATTTCATTTGACATATAGGGTGCATGAAAAACACTCAAACGATATAATAGAAGTGACGACCCGATCGTTCCATATCGATGAAAGCACCACGAGCATCCCATCAAACAGGCTCAAGCTCAAAGACATTACAACTAGATTGAAGACAGCAGAGAAATCCCGTCATCGTGTCGAGACTCAACTGTCTGCATTGCAGTCGTATGCTAAACTGTATAACGAACAGCAGCAGAATGACTGGCTTGCCCAGCCCGGGTTTATATCCAACCTGCACGATTTCTTGGAACTGTATTCAGACACACAGCAGAAGCTTGATGAGAGTGTGCTGGAGATTGAGAATCAGATTGAGGATTTGGTTAATGCTAAACTCGAGTTGGAGATGGAGATTGGGAGGGAAGAGAAAGTTGTAGCGACGGAGGAATTGGAAGTGCTTGTTGTGTTGAGTCGTGTAGCCGAGACAAATGATACTTTCGTAGCAGCGCACGATGTATTCGTACAAGCTGAAGATCACGACGATAGTAACAGTAGTGCTAGTCAGCCCATTGAACTACATGTATCGTATACGCTACCGACCACTGAATCATGGACTCCGAGATACTCGCTGAATGTAGATACCAATAGTAAACGAATCCGACTTGTATACCAAGCCAGTGTTATAAACACCACATGTGAATCATGGACTGGATGTAAACTGGTGCTCTGTAATACATCGCCCTGTCTGACACTCGAAGCACCATCTATTAATACATGGCATATATCAACACGATCACGCACACCACCACCATCATCTCTCTCAGACTCACGCCTGAGAAAAGCCAGTCGCCAATCCCTCGTCCTGGACGAAATGGAATTAGCTCAAATCCGTAAACCACCCTCCGTAATCTCAGACTCTACAATCGAAGAATACCTTTCCGGAACAACCCTATCATCATCCCAACTACCCCAAATCCACACAAACCAAACATACACAGTCCGCTACGAAATCCCGGGCCACGTCTCCATCCCCAACGACGCCAAACCACACATTATAACAATCACATCGATGGAATTACGACCTGCATTCAAATGGACTGCATCGCCTCGTATTGATACCACGGCATATTTAAGAACTCGGGCGGCTAACGAGTCGGCTGATTTGATATTATTGTATGGACCTGCGCTAGTGTTTTTGGATGGCACATTTACGGCGAGGTCGATTATACAGACCACGTTTCCGGGAGAGGAGATTGAGCTGCCGTTAGGGCCTGATCCGGGTGTGTCGCTTATTTACAGGCCGTTGAGTAAGGTTGTTGACACTCAGCCTGGTGAGTTTCTTCCGTACATTGAATGCAGAGGCGTGCAGGGGCGTTGGTAGTGGGAACAGTCGGAAAATCAGGACTGCAGATGCTGTCGTGATTTGCGTTCTTTGCGACGGTTTTTTCTCCTCTATATCTTTGACTAAACACTTTCTTTTTCATTATTAGGTGGACTTTTATCTGGGAAGACAACAGTAGCAAGATACACCCAAATCATAGAAATCAGCAACTGCAAGAAGCTAGATGTCGCTGTTACCGTAAGCACATAATTCATATTCTACCTTCCTTTTTTTTATTGAAACCCCGCCCTCGAAACCAATATAGGTCCAAGACCACATCCCAGTCTCCATATCCGACAGCGGCATAAAAGTCCTCCTAACATCCCCACTCGTATCGCTCCTTAAACCACGTCTCGAATACGTCGATGAAGCCACATTGTCTGAGATTGCAGTCAAGTATGCACCTGATACCGGGAAATTAGAGTTTTTGGTTCGGATACGACCGGGTTTGAGACAGGTTATTGAGTTTGGGTATGAGGTTACATATGGTGTTAGTGAGCATATTGAGGGTATGTTGAAAGATGTTTTTTTTTCCCAAGCGCCTTTGGGCTGTTATAGGTCCGGTTCCTCACTTCTGTTTTGCTCACAATACTATTTTGTTTCTGTTGAAATAGGACTATGAGATGGGAACCCTCTGTACAAATCCAAAAACCCAGTGTAAAAGTTGTCCAGTACATCAGAACCAAAAGTATATCCAGTAAAAACCGTAGTATCAAAGTCTAGTGTTCGCATACCATAAAACTGATCAAACACATACCATTGTCAGAAATCTACTCTACTATATTATATACATGCACTCGACTTACACACTTTTTACACTCTATTGTGGTTTCTTGTTACCTGCAAACATCCACCACTTGCTCCCATTCTCACCACCATCACCATTTGGTACCGGCGAACCCAAAGGCGACACAGCATTCCCCTTCCTCCCTCTCACACCATCATACGACATTCGTCCCTCACTAACACCACCATCTACGCTCACCACAGCATCATCAAACGACTTTCTCACCAGCACATTCTCACTGACGACATTATGTATCGGTGGCAGACTCAACGGCGACGTCAGCACAGGCGAGGGCTGTACGGAATGCGTGCGGTGTTTTGCCGTGTTTATCTTATCTAGTGACGTGTTTGGGACTCCCAGAGACGGGAGTGATGTTTTTACTAGTCCAAGTGTGCTAGTAATTATAGGTGCTTCATAACTATCGAATTCGGTAATGATGTCGGCATCCATGTTTGTTTCGTGGCCTGGGAATTCAACGCCGAGGGTTGCGTACACCTGTTTTTCAGAGTCTGGTTTATCGGGGTGTCTCAGGATGGGCCGTAATGTTGTCTCTGATGTGCCAAACGTGGTGTATATGTATGTGAGGAGGTTTGTTATGGCCGTCATGTCGGTGGTGGTACTAGCGTCTTCGATGGCAGCTAGAGTTGGTGATGATGCTGGTGAAGCGGGTAAGAGGCGTCGCACACGGCGTGATGGGGAGACACCTGGTGATACTGGTGATGATGTGAATTGAGGGTCGAAGGCGTGTGTGAGGGTGGACCGTTTGTGGGTTATGAGGGTGGCTAGTTTGGATGTTATGGAGGATAGCAGGGGGCTGGTTATGTCTGGGATCTATAGAAGAGGGAGGTTGGGTGAGACTCTGATGTGCAAAAAAATCCTTGGATGTATTACGCACGTCTCGAAAGACTTGGAGGATGATGTTGATTGTATGGAATGTAATCTTATTGAGACGGCCAAGCCCATGGCATGGTTCTGCTGGTTCTCCTTGTGAGGATTGTTCTATGGAGAGTTGGACAGATCTGCTAATCACTGGTTCCTATGCAAGAAAAGAATCATAGTCAAGATTGGAAGGTCGCTTTTTTGCGCAAGATCTCATCAAACACCAAAAAATAACTCACCCTCAAATGCAAAACCCAAAACAGCACCGTATCAATCAGCAAGAAATGATCATTACAATTCCTAACACCTTCAAAACTCCCATGATTAATCTGATTCTTGAGCCCCACGAAATCCAGTTTCTCAGCTGGCGTCTTGATACCATCAAACGTCGCAAACGCTTCACATACACCTAATTTTACCGATGCATGCAATGTAGCGAGATGCGATATCCTGTGACATATCTCGTATACAATTTTCGGAATGTACAGGAGCCGTTGTGATTCAGTGGCTTGCAAGATACAGCGTTGGCGTCTCAAGAATTCCGAGAGGGTTACGAGCTGTGGCGATGATGGATCGTCGAGTATATCGTCTATAACTACTTCTTCAGCGGTAACGTTGAATGCCTTGCGTCGTCGTGGCACATGGAAGAAGGCATACATGTAGTGGTTCCGTTCTTCTTCGAATGCGTGCACACACAAGACCTGTTTCTTTGTTTGTAGCGATAGTGGGCGTTTCGTTCGCACGAGGGATATAGCTTCATCGGATGTTAGACCGTGCCGAAGTACGAGCACACATGCGATTACTAGTCCGGTGCGTCCTAGACCAGCGTGACAATGTATGGATATCTTTTGGGATGTGTCGAGAATGCGGGTTATGCATTGGACTATTTTGAAGAGGAGGTCGAGGGATGGCGTGCTCATGTCTTGCCAGCCGTAGTGGATGAATTGGACTGTGTAAGAAGTACGTGTCAGAGTTCTGTTGATGGTGTTGGATGAGCATAGAACATACTCCCGGAATCCGTGAATGTTTCAGGCAAGTATGATAGTCCACTTGAAGCTTCTATACCATGTCCACATAGTGTGTGTTCACCTTTCTCTTGTAGACATACGATTGCTCCTACAGTTGAAGTTGGAGATCAGATTATAGCTTGAAACTCAAACTTCATAGATTAAAAGAATTCAAACAATTCGCTCCTCACCAATGTTTTGATCTTTGAAAACTTGAATCAGATTGTGCTCCTTGATAAGTTGTGATGCTGGACGTTGCATTGCCAGTATCTGGTCGGTGATCCTAAAGAGAAGCCGCGTCAGAGATTGAAGATGTCATCACTTGTTCGCTCTCACCAGTTCGAGTATAGTCCTTCGATGGCATTTGGTGGAGCTGTCCAAAACACACAATTTTTTATAGTAGTAATTCAGACAGTCAAATACTTAAGAAAGAAGTGAGTGCGTGTAGAATTCTCTTACCTGTCCATTGTCTATAATCTTCATATTTACAAGCAGAGCCGCCACAGAAGGTGCATCTAATGAATTCCATCGTTTCTCGCTTTTTAAGGTTCAAACGTGATATTTGGCAAAAAGAACTCTCAGTACATGATTATATTTGTTCATAACTATATATCAAAGGTGTGCGGTTTGTTGTTGCTGTTTTACGTGTGTGTTGTCCTAGCTATAAAATTAACGTGACTATATCATGGTAGTATAGATCTTATCAGGCTTGTGCGGCGTCGTCAGCCAAGGCAGCTACTTGTTGAGCTTTAGATTCAACGACGTTTTCACATGCCTTGAATACTTTATCATAAGTCTCGACGCCGAATATGCGTGTTATTTCATCCTTGAGTGATCCAGCGACAAAGTTTTCACACGTTTCCGAGATCTGGCCTGGGTTTAGTGCGCCGTCCCGAGTCCACTTCTATTATAGATATGGGGGTATTAGTATGTGATGTGTTGTGTGGTTTATAGTTTATACAACACAGTCAAACAACATAGCAGTACACACACCTGGGAGAATCTCTGCCTTGGCCAATCCCTTAATATGACCTTTCCCTCATCGGCCATGACCGCTACTTGGAAATAAGTAGTTCCCGGTGAAGGACTCATCATCTGCGACTCGAATATACAACCCACGAGAGGTTCCATATATGCCTTCTTCTTTTCCTTCCGCTTTGCATTGGACTCTCGTCGTCCCAGGCCTAGTTTAGGTGGCGATGCTGATGTTGGAGGACTGGGTGTATCCGGAGTTACTTTGCTCATTCTTATTTATAAAATGTTGATGATGGTTTACACTAGTTCCACGTTGATCTAGACCTGATCCGGCAATCTATAATAATGGCAAAATGATGAGTGCCAGTGTATATATGGTACAGTACGGTGTGGTGCTCACCGTTGTCGGAGGTTTCCCACGACCTCTCTTATTTCTCGTCCTTTTTGAGGGGAGAGAAGTTTCCGATGCAAAAAATACTCACCCACAAACAGTCACGCTAACTTTGTCAATTTATTTGCTCTCTAGGACGCGTCATATTGCATCAACAATGGTTGCAAACACTCACAACACGGCAGACGTCCCAAAAGCGTCCATCCCATTCTTGCCTGGAAACAGCTTTGGTGATGCTACCGTGAGTTCATACATTCTTTCAATATTATTCCCAATTATCTTGCACTGAAATCAAGGCTTGAAATTCGATAAACAATTCCTCATCTAACCACACTCTTCTACTCCATCTTTCATACAGAAAACCGACTTTCGAAAAGCCCACACTTTAGATTACAAAAACTCTTACGCTCTACAAAAGCAAGTTCGTCTCTCTATTGGCGGTGTCGCTCATCAGGCCCACATCCAACCAAGTGCTCAGGATTTGTTGCAATGGAGTGGTAAAGATCCAGCTATAACATATGGAGACAAGCAGTTCCATGCACCCAAAGTCGAGCCCCGTTTCGTCCCTGCTTATGTGGCCTTTGATAAAGTGGTGTGTATTCGTATTGATTGTTGTTGACTATTGGAAGCGTGACAGGTGTTGTTGGATGTTGTGGTCCTTTGTGCTCAACAAAGCTAGTCTTTTTTGCTCATGCGCCATCGTAGTGATTCACCACTCATACTCCTATTAGGTCCTCCGATTCGACGCGTACTTCAAACAAGCAGTCCACGAATCGCGTGAACAGTTCCACCTCCGTCGTGTACGAATCCTCTACTATCTCGAAGACGATTCCGTCGCCGTAGTCGAACCTGAATTCGAGAACTCGGGTATCTTGCAAGGAGTACTCATTAAACGCCAACGATTACCAAAGTCATCAACAGAGTACTACCGGGCTCGTGATTTCAACCTGGGAATCAATTTGCAGATTTATGGAAGAACTTATCGTGTTGTTAACTGTGACAAGTTTACTGAGGTATGTAAACAGAGGATAAATAAAGCTCTTGTTGAATGATGGACGTGCCAAAAAAAGTCATAGCTGGGGCCGTAAATGATGTTCTCACCCGCTCTCATCCCTAGCAATACATGAGAGAGACAGAAAACATCATCTTGAACGCTCCAGAAGACATGCCAACAGACCAATACATCGTATCCCGAGAACGTGTGCCCAGAAACCCATCGCACTCTGTCGAGAAACACGATCTATTAAAGAGATTCTTGGAGAATGATCGCAAAGTATTGAGATTCTACTGCGTTTGGGATGATCGTGATTCCATGTTTGGTGAATTACGTGAATTCGTGAGTCCTCGATATACTTATTTTTTTTTTTGGTTATTTGTTGGCTACCAAAACGGACGATAACGATTTGTGCATTAGGTCCTGCACTATTTCTTGGTTGATGACTGCTGTGAAGTCCGTGAGGTACAAAAGCCAAATAACGGACGTGATCCCTCGCCTATTTTGGTCCGTCGTCAACATTTGAACAAGGATGGATCTGCTAACGGTGAGTCTATGAGTGTGATACAGTGCATTCACATTCCTTCAAACTTGTAGTTTTTTTTCCTCTAAATATTCACTTTGCCCTGCTTTTAGAGAACGCTGAAGTGTACACCTGGAGAGACTTCCAAATTGGACAAAGCATTAACGTCTTGGGACGCAAATTCCTCTTGTAAGTGAAAGTGCGACATGCAAAAGAAATTTGCACTTATAAAATTGTAATGCATACTGTCTCCGCTCTTGTACTCACTCTTCTCCCTCTATAGACGAGACTGCGACGACTACACTCGCAGATTCTACCAGACCACACTCGGAGTCTCACCATCAAGTCTCGTTGCCATCCCAGTAGAAACAACCCCACAACGTGTCCTTGAACCTGAAGTGCCTCCATACAATGGATATGGAGATGTTGAAGATTCGCTCGGAAGCTGCCGATACTTGGTATTGAAGCCTCCAAAGAAAGACTTCTTGAAGGCTTTGGAGAACGAGCATAAGGTTTTGAGATTTGTTGCTCGTATGGTATGTTATGATCGATTGCAGTTTTTGTTGAGCCTGGAAGGAGAAAATGAAGAAAACGACAAGGACACAATGTACATGTTCAACCAATGTCCGTCTTGATTGATCTCACATATTCTTACGTTGATATAATAGGATTCCAAACACAAGGAAGACAAGGACCGTCGATTCGTCATCAGTTACAGATTGGCTGATGATACCATGACTATCTGTGCGTATTAACCTTCTTGCGAGTATCCTTTTTTTCTCTCCATTCTCATCTAACATCTCATCATAGACGAACCACCACAACGAAACGCCGGCATCCTCGGTGGCAAATTCATGGAACGCAAACGCGTCCTCCTCCCCGGCTCTGCCCTCTCCGATGCCGAAGGTCCCAAATACTACAAAACGGCCGACCTAAACGTTGGCGCAACGGTCGAAGTCCTCAAACACAAATTCGTCCTTCTCGACGCTGACGAATTCGTATACCAGTACATGGAAGACAAGAGACAAGATTTCCCAATGTCTGATATCAACAAGGTTATGAAGAAGGCTAGTGTTGGATTGGCTGGATGCAAGAATGTGTTGGCACAGGTTGCCAAGAGGTTGGATTCGAGTGATGGTGGTGTTGTTGATCGGAAAAAGTTTTTGGAGGCTACGAGGGATGTTTGGGGGTCGTGTTTGACTTATCATGTGAGTTTCTTTTGTCTGTATCAGGGTTTTTTGTGCATGCCTGTGTTCAGGTACTGATTCGTTTTCTGTGTGTCTTCAGGAGGCCATCACGCTATCACGGGCTTTCGAAGAAGAGGATCGTCAAGTTAGTTATGTGAAGATGCTGTCTGCATTTTAAGTGAAATCATTGCAGCCTTAGGAACTTTTGTTGTCGTGTGCAAATATTGGCCCTGTAAATCCAAAACATGAATCGCATCGCAAAACACCAAAAAAATGCAACACCATTCTCTATATCGCTTTGTCGATTCTTTCAAATATGTGTGGGGCTGTATTCAAGAAACACATTTCAAACGGGATTGCGCTCTTTTTTGTTTCCAATGCTGAAGGACCTCGCTTCTAGATGTGCAAGTGCTCGTAGACTCTCTAACAGATACCAGCTTAGAGTCTCGATTGGTGATATCACTCATCGAGCTTAAATTCAATCAAGCGCTTCACGACAGATTGAATCGAGAGGGAAAACATCTCGTTGCATGGAGAAAACAGTTTCCATTGGACTCCATCACAAAGCACGATTTACGAAGGAGATTCTTGGAGCACTATCGCAAAGGACTAGAATTCTGATGTGTTCAGAACGATGCCAGGTTCGGCGAATCACGTGAATTCGTATGTGCTTGATTCGCTCCTTGCATATGAACCTGAATTCCCGCGTATTACGGACATATTGAGGATGCTTTTGGAAGCTGTACATACTTGATTTTTAAGCCTCCAGATTCTTGGAGGCCTTGGAAATGACGATGAGGTTTTGAGCCTTGATGCTCATTGGGCAATCGTCTGTTTTTTTTGCTGTGTCGACAAGCGAGATTGAAGGGAGCAAACACTAGACATATTATCGATTCTGTATATATCTTGCAAGTCACACTATACAATTATTTGTGGTTCCTTTCCAACCTTCTTACAAAACGAGTATCAGACTGTATAAAATGGGTATATGATCATCTCTAAACCATTCCAATATCGAAACTAATTAATATACTCCATAACATCCTCATTAGCAGCCAGCTCATTCGTCAGTAACAAGCCCTGAAACCCCCTCTGAGCAGTCAATCTCGCATCCATTTCTAGATCAGCCAGTACTCTATACTCCATCATGTTGATCTTGCCCTTCTGTAACAGTACTTCTGGAATATCAGTCAACCTATTATCCCTCCTGTTCTTTATGACGAGTGTCCAAAGAGACAAGAAATCTGTTTCGTCGATTGATTTACGTTCGTATGATTCGACGATTGGTTTAATGGAAGGAAGGGATATGCGTCGTCCGCATCGGGATTGTGAGAATGTTGGGATGTAGTTTGTGTCGTAAAATGGGCGTCTGTTGAGGATGAGAGTGTTAGTCATTGTTTGAATGTACAGTGCTTGACGCATCAAGCGATTACGCACTCAAACACAGAGCAGAGACTTACGTAGCGACAGCAGTACACTTCCTGGACTCAATTGTACTCGTCACTTCTCGAGACATATAAGCAGGTACGCTCCAAGCAGAATACGCATCACTACTTGATCGTGCTGTTATTGGAGATTCGGATACATACGATGGTGGAAGGATGGATCCACTAGCTATACTCTTTGCATATGCAGGTAGTGATCCCTCTCTCCTACTACTACCCATACTATCCGTGAAGCTTGACAGCAGTTTACGGTAAAAGGTAGCAACACTCGATTTCCGACTCCTGCTGGTTTTAGAGTTGCTACTTGAAGTAAGTTTCCTTGTTGATTGTGGTGATTGCTGCTTGATTTCGTTCCAGTATGAGGAGCTGTTTGCCAGCTCATCAGACAATGTGTTGTGGTTCAAGTCGAGTAGTAGCAGTTGCTGCTGTATAGTAGCCGATTTGATATCCACGATATGCACTCCTGATGCATCGTCCTCTACACTTGATGATGTTGCTTTTACAGATTGAACATTCCTCTTTTGCAGGAATTTCTGAGCTGCACGTACAAGTGCATGTCGTTTTGGTGTGGGAGTAATTGCAGATGCCATTGTTAGGATTATATGATATGGGAGTAGTGATCTCTGTTGCTATAAACCGTTTCAAGGTAGCTTTCATTAGAAATCGAGGTTAGCTTTTTTTCACCCTTTTCGGCTCGAGTGTCTGACAGGAGCGGACGCATCTCAACCTTATGGACTTGTGCGGGTAAGGTAACCATGCAGGAGGCTATGCAAAGAGCACACTCCAAACATGCTTTTGCTATCACTTCATTGTTGAGCTAGTACCGTAAGAGCGACCGTGATCTGGTCCATCGCAAGCATGCCTTCATTTCAATGCACTTTGCATCCATCTATCACGCGTCTGTTATACGTCTTTACCCTGTTCTGGCTATACGTCAACCATCGTCAAAACGCGATAGTTTTGAACTTGAATCAACACTGCATTTTCACAACCCAACGCACGAGAACATTCTCGTATCGGTCGCTCAAAGCTATAGCCCATAAAATCAATAATCTAGGTACCCGATCGTATTCATGGTCTCGATTACCCTCCAACTTCAATTTACCCAATAATCGAAAACATGAGACATTTCGTATCTGCTTGGACTATACTACTGCTAGCCCTACACGTACAAGCCCAAATAATCGGAATCCAGAATGAACAGGACTTACATGCTTCTTCCTTCACCACAACCGATACATCAGATGTTGGCAGCTTAGCTGACCGTGGTCTCATAACAGAATCACCTACATCAACCGACATCCTCGAAAATCACGCAATCACGTCTCATGACACGGCACGCAATTTTAATCAGCTCGTATTGGGATACGTGACGCCCTGGCATTCAAAAGGATATGACATTGCCAAAAAGTTTCGTGGCAAATTCACGTATATATCGCCTGTTTGGTACTATATCAAACCAAAGAATTCGAATTCGTTTAAATCGTATAAGTTGGAAGGGGGTCATGATGTTGACGAAGGTACGTGTTTGTGTGTGATGTTCGTTTGGTGCAAACAACAAAAAAAATACCAACTCGACGATGATGTACTCAAGTTCTTTCTTCCGTCTTCTTCATACAGGCTGGATGAAGGAGGTACGAGCTCCACTACCTGATCGTCGGCGAGTCAAGATTGTGCCTAGATTTCAGATACCTGGACTCTCTCAAGAAGCATTCTTGGCTCTCGTCAGCGACGAGTCTATCATGAAGAAGATTATAAGGCTGATTGCTGATGAGTGCGAGTAAGTACGTGTGGGTGAAAGGTGTGTGGATTTCGAGGCTGCTGGGCTGCAAAAAAGCCATTTGCTGCAAACCATCAATGTTGTCAACTTATACGGTTTTAAGCACGGTTTTAACAAAGCATTGCTGCAAACCATCAATGTTGTCAACTTGCATCATATACGGAATGAAAACCGTGCTTAAAACCATGAAACCGCAAGAAAAGACACCGCTCGGTGGCAAGTATAACTCGCATTCTTCCAATTCTTTTTTTGGTCTCATTAGGAAGCACTCGTTTGACGGCATAGTCCTCGAAGTCTTTCTCCCAAACTACCTAAAACGCTTCATCCAACTCTTATCTTCAACCCTGCATACCTCTCAACGCGACCTAATCCTAGTCATATCACCTTGGAAGGACGTTACAACAACCGCCGATCCATTCAGCCCAAGGGATTTTGAGGAAATGGTGGAATATGTTGACGCATTTTCAATAATGACGTATGATTACTCTGTACAAGCCAGTATTGGAGGACCTAACGCGCCCATTGAGGAGCTGCATAAGGCTGTTGAGAGATTGGGGAAAGTATCGCCTGGGAATAGGAATAAGATATTGATGGGGATGAATTGTTATGGGTATCGATTTGCTGTTTGGCCTGAGGGGCAGCTGGAGGCTATTGTTGGTGAGTTGATAGGGTTATTACTCGGTACAATAGCGAAGGATTTTTTTGCCTACAAACGAGTATTTTACTAACACCTCACTATATTACACAGGCACAACGTATCTAGAAATCCTTTCAAAATTCAGTCCCAAGATAAAATGGGACTCTACGTATGGAGAACACTCCTTCCAATACACTCATGGCAAACAGGTGTATGAAGTATGGTATCCAACACTTCAATCTATTGACGATAGATTGACTCTTGCGAAAGAAATGCACTCTGGCATATCGCTGTGGGAGATTGGTCAGGGATTGGATTACTTTTATGATTTGCTGTGAAGGTTGGCAAGGAGCCCTTGGTTGTATAATTGCTTAATTATAATGTGTCATAAGAAGATGGCCCTGAAACAGACATTCAGATAGTAAGCTCAGTTTTTAGCAACCACGGGCGGTAAAGCTCTGAGATAGCAGTAGATGCCATAGTTCCAAGTCATATGAAATTGTGTTAGGTTGGTGCGGGGAGAGTTCTTGAACTGCTGAATTTGGAATTCCAGTAGCTGGTTGAGGTGAGTTGTTTGCGGAACTGATTTGCAGGAGATACAAACATCTTGGATGAAGCGAGTGGCATCGCCGGACACTTGAATGATGAATTCCTGTCTTTTTTGATATCCTCTGCTTAGCTTCAAAACGAGCTTTTGCATCAACATTGAAACCCGATTGGGAAGAAACCATTAGAGCTTTGCCAACCAGCTTCCAATTCTATAGTTCGCCATCATAAACCATATTGTCAGCCGATGGATATGTCTGCTACTACTCTTTCGTTAGCTTTGGTGGTGCTGGATTGTATCATAGAGCACACGCAACATTTCTCTCGTCAGGACTTGTAGTCTGCAGCTCCAGTATCGAGAGACTGGAATAAAGCAGCAATTAGGAAGCTCTGCGATTCCGTTGACGCCAGTAAGGTTCGATTTGTAAATCCCTTCAACTGGGTGCTCCAAGTGCGGGACCCCATTAAACAGGATGCCAGAACCCATTGGTTTATACGAAACTCCTCAACGTGTATACACGGCCGCCTCAGCTAGAAGGTGCTAGTCCATTATCGGGAGGAACATGTTGTCCTGCTGTAGAAGTCTTAAGGCACTCACCATCACGACAAACTAGCTCTCACCATTGGAATTCATGCCATCATCACCAGTGGCTTTGAGCTTAGATGATGCTGCTTTGGCCTTGGGTGTTGGGACAACTCGGTTGGTCCATCTAGGTGAATGGTGGAGGTTTGCCATAAATCATCCCAATATACGCAAACTGGAATTCCAATGCCCACCTCCACCGGGAATAAATGAAGCTTTGAGTAGATGGTGTCTCTCGCGTTTCATGTACAACAGTCAGAAATCAGGTGGTTTAGATTCGAGAGGATGGATGTCATTGGTCAAAGGAAGCAACGAAATCCCTTCGTAGCCTTCATATAGATGCTACGCAAACTAAAATTTCTTGTGCTGAACATGGAGCAGTCAGCAACCTAAAATGTGTAGATATGTTTGACAGTATTATGCCTACTGGATTCCTTGTCTCATTGCAAGGAGGTGGGTGGAGATGCTGAATCAGTAGACTCGGACGCGATCAAAGGTGATTAGATGAGGATGAGCATGTCATCAAGTGCTAATTAGAGTCTAATTCAAAGATTGTCAAATGTATTATCTATCTGTATTTTGCGGCATCAAACATTTTGACATCAAACATGTTTTCTGACCCAGCTTGTTAAGAACGTAGAGCTTGGAAGATCGACGGGCCTATCGTGTGCTTCTACCGCCATTAAGACTAACCAAATGGAATTCTTTTTCCAAGAATATTGACAACTCAGCACGTTGCATCAAATGTGGCTGCCTGGTAGTGGATGCTCATGAAGTGATTCTTGTCTGCGTCGTGCATTACGCTATTTTGGCTCAATTGAATGATGATCTGATAATCCTGCAGTCTGTGTGATGTGCTGCACATCGTGATTGGTTCCTGGACAACAACCAACACCAACACACCAACTAAAACAACTTTTTGAGAAGCCCAAATCCGTTGAAACTCACAAAGGCGCTTTCAGGACTATATCAAAGCACTCCTTACCAGAAGTTGTCATCCGTGAGCTCTCTGATTCTAGAAATCCATATCCTGGAGCACAACAAGAGAAGAAATGACGGACAGACTCTTTTTCGTGGTTTTGGCCGTCTTGGGAGGTCTAGTACAAGTTAAAGGATGCTCTCATCCGACGACGGACTTTTGCCCTTATCATCCAGTGGCAAATTGTGTAAGTGCATCTCCACCGTAACTTCGAAAGTGTGCACACCTATTCAAAGCAGATATTGAATTCCATCCACCACGACCTTGCAACTAAATCTTTCATTTTCATATTGTATTTAGAGTGAAATGTATACCGTTAAAGCTTCAGATACGCTGGACTCTATTGCACAACAAAAGCATTGGAACAGTTCTGCTGACTTGGGTACGAACTCACTGTCTGTTGTCAGTTTCTTTGGGTTCTCCAATTGTAGCTGACAAGATTGCTCTACCTCTTATTCAGTTACACTGAATCCCGGTTTGAACGTTAGCCTGCCCATCAACAAGGAAGCGACTCTCTGTGTCTGTGGATCAAGTGGTTGTCCGAACCCGTTAGCCAACTGTACCAGCGTTTACACAGTAAGTTTGGCTGTATTGTTGTTGATCTGATTGCTTCAAGTCGATTAAATTTCTCTGGCTTTGTGTCTGAACACCCAAACTTACATATATCTTCCTCTTTAGGTGCAACCAAGAGATACCTGTAAATCAATCGCCATTGCTCATGACGAACAAGGTTCAGATCCAGGATCTAAACTAGTGGCATTAAATAAGAAATTGTTTGGTCTGGCCTTGAATTGCGCTAACTTGAAGCCAGGCAGCCAACTCTGTGTGGATTGCTACGCCAATACTACAACAGCACCTGCACCAATGCGTACACCAGCAGCAGCACCGTCGATTATAATCCCATCACCTACAATCCCGTCGCTACAAGTAATCACTCCGCCTCTAGGAGCAAATGGTCCTCCCACTCCGTCACCTTGTCAACCATCCCCTCCGGCACCTGCATGCTGCGGTGGGCCACCTTCGCCACCACCTCTCTGCTGCGGCGATGGTGGAAAGGTTATACAAACAACACTTAGCATACAGCCAAGCTTACTACCGAACGGACTGATCCAGCCTGCCGATCCTAGGACACTCGGTGTCGGGAGTAATGCTAAACCCATAACATCGTCGAAGCCAGTAGCAACTAGTATCACCACTTCGCCACTTCCAGCAGCCACTAGCATCACATCGCCAAATCTAGTAATCCTCTCAACTATACCCAGTCCAGCAGGAAATAGTATTGCCATAGCTTCACCAGAGCCTGCGTCTGTAGTAAAACCTGATGCTCTCCCCGCTATTCATGTAGCCGGAGCAGCTGGCCAAAAAATAGGAGCGTCGTGTTTGGGTGTTGTCGTTGTTGTGGTTGCTATTTACCTTTGCCTTTGAATGGGGCTCTTTGTGGGCAAAACCTTTATTTTAATAATTTCGATTCAATATATCTGTTGGGACTTAAGGACTAGGTGTCGTCGTAGTGAAAGCTACATCTTTTGCTTATGGAATATTTTCTGTGTGGGCACACCTTTCGCCCTTGGAAGACAATATTTTCTCTGAAGTACGTAACTTTCTGGTTGTAGCTTGTTCGTCATGCTGGAAGAAAGTTGTGCAACAACCACAACTCCAGTTGCTGATTCTACCTTCCTTATAACAAACGCTACTCTGTGTGATTTCAATATACTGGAACCAATACTCGATCAAGCAGGACCTTTCGAAAAGCTCGTCTCTTCGCCCCCTTAAGATTGTCGACAAGCTGTATCCGCAAAGCTACAACTTGTAAACTCGGAAAATATGAAATCCATAAACCTGATATCCATACTGATAATGATCGTGCTCTACTGGTCACTCGTAGCAGCCCAATATGATTCTCCTCAAGAAACGACACTAGTACCACAGCAAAACATTGTAAACACCGACGACTTTGCCAAGGACAAACACCAGAAGAAACCTTCGAATAGTCCTAAAAAGAGTCCCTACCAGACTCCGACACCAATCGCAATTGGGGGTCCAGTATATGCTCCTTCCCCACCAGGCTATGAGGTGACTCCAAGTTCGGTTCCTTCACCGCCTGTTGGTGCTGGCGGTGCACCTCCAGCAACGAATGGTGCTGTGCCGATTCGTTCTCGTATCAATGCCATGTAAGATATGAAGTGTTGCTGTGATTATGAACGATATTGAGTGCCAAGTCACATCTGTTTGATAATCTAGTGCCACTGGACTTCCAAACGTGGTGCCATTCGCAAATGTTGCTGGTGACGACGGAGCATACTAAACTTTGATTTCACGTATTTATAGTGTAGATTATACTTGTCTGAGTAAAACATATTGTTCCATCCCAATCAAATCACGTCCCATAGTTTCTTGGCGCGTGTTTCTCATGAAAATGACACGTTATGAGTAATGACGATCAGCGCTAGCTCCTTTTTGGCTGCTTTTCTCGGATTGTCTTTCCCACGTGAACCCTTTTCACAAAATCCTTCAAAACAAACCCACAACAAAAGGACTCTTTGGGGATTTCTATCAGGAACTTTGCTATTTGATTTGGAGAATCATGAGCCGTCAAGAAGCAGCTCCTGGAACAAAATGGTATCCATTAAGCTTGAAGCTCATGTACATTGTTTGAAGTTGGTGCATGGACACCGTACGGTCCTACGTTGTGTCAATTCAAAGCTATGAGGCAGGCATCCATCCATGGAATGAAATTGATTTCAAGCCTCTTTTGTTATTCAACTGCATGTTTCTCTGTTTTGACATCTTGGACATCAAAAGTGAGACAATTCTAACAAACAGCCCTCTATTTACTTCTTATTCATCAAGTTTCGTTGGAAACCTATCATGGAGCACTGAATGTACAAAACTCTCATGATACTACTACCTGCATCAACGTTTGACATTCAACCAAAAATCATCTTTGACCGCTTTTTTTTCTTTAGCTGACCATCTCCGCTCTGCATTTGAACCTTATGGAAACGTCACAGACAGCTTTGTGCTCAAGGATCGTGAATCTGGTCGCAGTCGTGGATTTGGCTTTGTGACCATGTCGACTCCTGAAGAAGCAAACGCTGCAATCAGGTAGCTAGTATTTGTTACAGTTGTTTTCAAGAAAAGTTTGGATGAGAATGAATGTTCTTTTAGCGCATTGAATGAAACTGATCTCGATGGACGGTATGTGAAGTATTTGGCGTGTCCTTTTTGCACCTGTTTGTGTCCATCTCAAAGACCCATCTTTTCCTATCGTTCACTACGAGCCTGGTCGTATACCTCATCTCACTCAAATTTTCACTATAGAAACATTCGGTTCAACCTCGCTGAATCTGGTGCGTTATGCGTCAACCACCATCAAAAACGGCTCTACCAAATGACACAAAGCTTCTAACCGGCATCGTTCCTCTTACTTAGCTCCTCGCGGAGGTGGCGGAAGTAGTGGAGGCTATGGTGGTGGTGGAGGTAACGTCTCTCTACAACCTGGTGGACGTGATGCGTCCAATGTTGATTTGACATTTTCAACCATTCTCTTCTCTTGTGCAGGATACGGTGGTGGTGGAGGATACAGCAGTGGTGGTGGCGGAGGCTACAGTGGTGGTGGAGGAGGTGCGTCTTCGCACTTTTACCATCGCGGGGTACACTCGAAGTCTTGAGTCTTCCTTAACTCTGTTCTTTCGTCAAATAGGCTACCAACAACGTGGATCCTCTTACAGCACTTACTGATACTTCTCTCCTGGTCTACATTTTGTTGCGATACACACACACACATTTAACAGAAAAATCACATAAACAGTTCTGTGACAAGCTAGGTTAAAACATATGAATGAGGGATTTGATGGTGGTGTGGTGATTTCGAAAAAACTAGATAATTATTCGAGGGGGTTGTGAGTTTGGGGAAGTGTTTGTACAAAGCTTGCGTGATACCATATTGAAAATATGTACCTGATTCTTTCCTTGTATGAGCTTGTGTGCTGCGTTTTGAAAGATTTGTTCGCGAAACAACAAAGGCTTGTAGGACACTTGTCCCAATTTAAACTATATTCCGTAATGGCCAACCATATTCACAAAGTAAAATTAACAGCAATTTCCGAGAACGAGAAACCACAAAGATGAAATGACCAGCATTCTCGCATCATATTGGTGGAAGATTCGGATATGGCCTAATATGATGAGAAAGTGAATATGTGAGTCAGGTGCTTGCTCAAAAAGTTTGAGAGACTTACATGGTACCGCCACCAAGTCCGACACCATTGCCAGGAGCGCCAGATGCTTTCACACAGACCTTGTTGCCAGCAACCAGAGGTGAATTTATGTCGATTCCGGGATTTAGAGCAACTGAAGGTTGAGATTGAAGAAGTTAGGACTATGGACTACAACAAACCAACGCCGTCCACTCACCAAGACTTGCTCCATTTGTAAATCCGTTAGCCATTCTATTGAAGAAGTAGATGTTATCATATGCACTCCATATTCAAACCACGAGATTCTTACGCTATAGAGTTAAACGTTTCACCAGTAGCGACCATGTGAACTGAAGTACAGGTTGCCGACATCATAAACGGGCTGATGCAAAAAAAGAACAGGGTAGGTAGGTACAAGCTAAACATAAAATGGAATAATTCTCTTCTCGAACATTCTGTAACATACCAATCAGTAGTTCCGACATTGTTGAGGCAGCCGACACACACCGTAGTTCCTGCCTGCAATGGAGCACCACAATTCAGAGATACGTTCAATAAGCGTTGATTGAGCGAGAGGATTTTGGCTGCTGGGTCTACAAGATAATTTCAGTCAGTCAATGTCCACCTCTAATCCGACAAGACAAAACAAAACGATAAGTGCAAAGAACTGACCCGGCTATAGGTGAATATGAATCATGTCAGTGCCTCAAAAACAAAGCACGATCAATAACAACGACAAGCAACAAAAGCGACGAACGGAAGTGAATTTTATCATACCCCTTGCTCATTAAATCTCGCTCCCAAAGAAACGCAAGTATCACCTTGGTTTACAACATACGTCTTTGGGCAATCGCCTCGTGCTGGGGCTGCAGGAACACCAACAGCACCGACGGGAATACCAGAGGAAACAGGTTTAGGTTGGTTGTTATTTGCTGCCGGTCCCATAGCAAAAGCTGGGTTTACGACGCAAACGTGATTTCCAGGGAATATCACGAGGTCAAGATTTAATCCGGGATTCAGAGGTACTAGAGAAGATGGTGGATAAACTAGCACTGATAAGGAGGAACAGAGGAAGGGTTGGACTCACGTAAATCAGATCCGTTGCGAAGGCCATTCATCACTATTAAAAATAAGACAGGTGAGAACGCGATAACAAAGAGTTGAATAAATGGAGAAAAAAAGCAGCTTGTCTCGAGACCTTCCAACAAGCAAACTCACTCGCAATCTTATTCAACTCATCGCCTGCCACAATAGTATACACTTTGGTGCAGCCTTGAGATAAGTGATACGGACAGTCTGTAGCACCACCAGTATTCGTACAGTCCACACAAATAGTCACGCCCGCTTGTAAAACATTTTGATTTTGACAATTCAATGTGACGCCAAGCAGTCTCTGGTTCATGCTGACGAGCTTTTGAGCAGGGTCCGGCTAGCAAGGATAAATGGTATCAGTATCATTGTCCGTCCACACATAATTGCGATGGTACTCGTATTTTGCATACCCCTTGCTGATTGAAATTAACTCCAATATCAAAACACTTTTCACCTCCCTGCTTTACCACATATGTATGCGGACAAGCTCCTAGAGGTGGACCGGTAGGTTGCGGTCCAGGCACATAATTTGGGTTTGGTGCGTTTACAACAGGGCTTGGTCTTGTATTAGGAGTTTGTGGTGTAGGATTATTATTTGGTGATGGTGGTGGATTTTGGTTTGGTGGATTCATATTGGGAGTGCCTTGAGTACACACAGTGTTGGCAGCATATATGAATGCGTCTAGATCAAGACCAGGATTCAAAGGAAGGAGCCCTTTAGCATCAGCCATACCATTAGCCTGTGCAATGGTAGTCAGAGTTTCACCTTCTGCGACAGTGTGAATCTTGGAGCAGGTTTGAGAGAGATGATATGGACAATCACTAGCAGCAACGCCGATTCTCATACAGTCTAAACAAGATTGTTTTGATAAGCGTCTTGAATATTACTCTTACTGAAACATGATACGTACCAACACAGACAGTAGCTCCAACAGGTAACGCAGCACAATTGAAATTCATTCCCAAAATACGCTGATTTATGCTGATTAGCCTTGCAGCGGGATCCGGCCCTTGCATATTGTTATTCACAGCTAAATCATAGCAGTTATCCCCATTCTGCAACACATGTGTTCGTGCACAAGCTCCATCAGGAACTTTGCCATATTGGGGTGTATATGGTGGCGGTTTGGTTGGTGGAATGACACAGACTTGATGCTCGGGATATACATTTATCTCGACTTGGAGTCCGAGATTGAATTGTGCTATGAGAGTAATCCCAGTTGAAAATCAGTTTCTTGTTCTTTTGAAAACTTATCCAAAAGTATACATTACCGAAATCAGACTTGTTTGAAACTCCATAGATTGAGGCCAGTGTATTGAGAGTATCGCCCTTCTCACATTTATGGACTTTGGTGCAATCATTTGCAACATGGTAAGGGCAGTATGGTTTCCCTTCACAGTCCACACAGACTACGATTCCGACATTCAAGTTATTGCAATCGAGCGATGTTCCAAATAGTTCAGAGTTTAGTTGCATGAGATTTGCGGCTGGATCTGTGGCAAGAAAGAGTCAGCTACAAACATTCCAGATGACTCCAACGTTGCTTGTCCCTACCAGGGCCTTGATGGTTGAATTTCACAGCTACATCAAAGCAAGCTTCATTTGCTTGCACAATGTATACAGCTTTACAGTCCTTGTATTGCGGATAAGAAGAAAGTTGAACAGTATTGTCTACCACTGCCAGCGCGTTTGATGTTATTGAGAATGAGACAAAAGAGAGTAGGAGAGTGGCCAGATTCATGGCCTTACAATGCTATAGAGAATGGAGTAGTTAGCAATAGTTCGGCATCAGACCTCAGATGCTGGGGGACGGGGAACTCGATTGAAGCTCAAGCCTCGAGCCTGGGGTCAAGACAGGCATGGCAGGCATAGCACAACCGTTTCAGCAACAAGTGGAAAGCGGACATTGCAATAAAGGTACAATTCAACTCTCCGTGCTGTGCATACTTTGGTTTGTTTCCGTATGCTTCACTCGAGCAATTAAATTTTGGTTTTTTGAGATGGTGGTGGAGACATTGTGTGATCTCTCTTTTCAACGGTCAGCAGTTCAGACTCCAATATAGAAAGAAGTGGAAAATACAGAAATTTACAATGATTCTATGACAATAGTCTGCCTTGTCCACGTGAAATCACGTTTTGAAAATTTTATGCGCTGTCGTTTCAAACAAGCTTTTGAGGTCGAAAATCGTACCGGTCGGTCATCAATGCTGGGCTCAAATTAGAATAATGTAGAAAATGAAGCGGTTTAGAAGGTCAAGATACAAGAATCAGTAGCTCGAGGTCCGTCTTATCGCCACGAACTTAAACGCAGCACGAATGTATCACAAGACTTCCATTTGATATGTACAGTGAAAATGTTCAGTCGAAAGATTTTAATAGCTCAGTAAAAACATGATCGTACTCTGCTGCTTTCCATGAATTTTTGGTTGAGATGCTAGACTTGCAGCCGTATCGTTACTGGCTCGTTGGAACAATGTGTCTGCGTGGATCTTGCGCTTAAGTTTGGAAGCTTAAGATGGACTCAATTCTCTTGATCTTGGACTGATATTAAAGAACTTGGACTTTGTGGTAAATCACTATACGATAATCATAGTTTGCAATGTAGTCTCAGACGTCAGCAGTAAAAATAATCTATAAACAATACGCTCACCATAAAAACCAATCACTCAATCGATCAAGTTATATTCTGTTCGTCTCCTCTATGTTGTAACCTTCTTGGGCCTGCGATACAATCAGATCCGAACTGCCGCAAACCCCTGATATTCTTGTGTAAATGTATTCGAATATGCAAGACAAGTGACTAAAGATCCAGACGTTGCAAAGGAGGGAGGCACACAGAATCCTGCAAAACGTGCGCCGTAGCCATGATATGGAGTTTTCTGTAGAGGTTCGTACTGATGACAAAATTAAGTCGAGATTCGAATTGACATGACATCAAAAACAAGCTTACCACAGCTTTCATATAAAGGAGTAGGGTATCCACCACGAGAATATGGTTGCTCTACCTGTTTATACTAGTAAACAATTGGACTTAGTTGGAATTGACATGACATGATGAAGCAAGTGTCAATGGATTTTACTTTAGTATCATTTGATGGAGCACGGTAGCCGCGAGAGGTAGATTTTTCTACCTGTTCGTACTGATAAAAGAAAATAAGCTTTTGATTTGAATTGACATCAAAAGCAGTTTACTTGAGGTTCATAGGGTGGATATGAAAGAGCACGGTAGCCACGAGAAGAATATTGTTCGGCTTGTTCATACTGTTAAAACCATTAACGCTGCACTCGAAATAACATGACGTGAAAGCAAACGAGTGTGTCAAGAATACCTTTGGTTGACGTCCTTCCTTGTAATCTGCAATTTGACGCTGGTTGTAGGGCTCTTCACGTTCTCCAAACTTCCCATATCGAACATTGCTGTCAACACAGATCTTTTGTCTGGGGTAATGATTTGGTTGACGTCGAATCCAATGTTGAGTTTTGCTAGATTTGAAGAGCCGGAAATGTCAGCCATTTGAAGAAAGATGTGTGGCTTCAAACGTGAAATATACCACGTTCATCCTTGCTTGAAAGTTTACTGATAGAGGTGATAGTGTTTCATGAACGGTCAAACAGTCATAGACGTATCGATATGGGCCTATATTGAAAGTCTCTAGTCTGAAATAAACTTTAGAATCCATTTGAACTCGCAGTATGGATGATATTTATCTCCATTACAATCAATACATACCAAGTTGACTACGTCAAAGAAATTGATGCAAAAGTACATTCGATAGAGCAGAATAGACTTCCATGTGGAATCTCCAACCTGCAAATTCTTGCAATCCAAGTCCTTGTCCAAGAAATTGCGATGCAAAAGTAGGAGATTCTTGACTGGATCCAATCCTTGAAAGTTTGCTTTCATCTATGGAGCAGATGCAAGGTGAGATTTCCAGGATTGATGAGTCATTCGATACTTTACACATACAGCAATATCAAAGCAGTTATCATTTGGCTTGAGGACGTATATTCCTTTGCAATAACTACCATCTGCCGTCAAAAAAGTTCCAATACAATGCCGACAAGAAAGAGGGACCAAATCATAAGCGTGAAGCTTTGCGATGTCTAATAAGATTAACATAAGATTAAAGTCGATTTTTCGCTTCTGGTGGAAATCTCTGTTGAGTGTAAATTCGGTATGCGTCGTTTTCGCCCTTGAAATCCAAACCACAACTTATTGGTTAAACAAACACAGCAGTATTTCAAAATAAATACCTTTGCTGTCATCGTCGAAGGACTCCTTTTTCTGCCTTGCTCGGAAAGTTGGTTGAAATTTGGGTTGGACGATTAGACACTTCCAATTGGACACTGATACTCTAACGAAGTCCGAAGTCATGTCAAGCTCATGGATGAACCGTGAGATCTACGCGACTTTGACGTTTTCTCTGCGCAACAGAATCTCCTCGAGGTCGTACGATTATCGATTAGATGTCTATTGTTCAAGTCTAGAAATGTCAAAGTTTAAAATTACGATAATAGAGCTATAGATATTAGTATGAGAAGATCGTCTATAATCTTAATTTCACCACTCGTATGCTTGCATTTCAGACCCTCCTATTCCTTCTTTTTCTCTTTTCACAACAGCGTGGTGCTGGAGCTCCAGTAGCACTTAATATAGCAGTTTGAGGGTTTGATGCAGCTACTGGTGACGGATCTGCAGATGCTACAGGTGATGGCGCAGGTAATGGATCTGCAGATACCACAGGTGATGGAGTCGGGCTTGGTACTGTTGGGGAATATAATATTGGTGGTACTGGGGAAGCTGATGCGGCTGGTGAATTAGATGGTGACGGTAAGGTTGTTGTTGTTCCCGTTAGGTAGCAATCTACACAAAGTTGGGTGCCTGCTTTGAGATTGGCACAGTCCAGCGCGACCTGGAATAACTGCTGATTTAACGAAACTAGCTTGTCGCCGGGGTTTACACCTTGTTCATCATGTGCTATAGCAATACTATCGCAAGTATCGTTTGCTTTGACCTAGAACGAGAGAATTTCTAAGCACAATGGTATACTATCGCGTTGAAGCAGCTTTGATGCGTTTGCAAAGCAAGTTCTATAGATTTAATTGAGCTTACCGTGTAAATGTTACTGCAGTTGGCTAACGGGTTTGGGCAACCGTTTGCTCCACAAACACAGAGCGTGTTGTTTGCAAAGATGGCTTCGTCAATATGCAGACCAGTATTGAGAGGAACTAACGAGAAGAGCAAATCAATACTGGTTCTGTCGTGGCGTGTAAATAAATGCAAATCTTACCCAAATCAGCGGCGTTTTGGAGATGGTAGTTCTGAGCGATACTCGTCAGCGTATCTCCAGCCTGCACGGTATAGTTCTGACTCTAAAAGTACCAAGGAAATAGCTGAATGTTAGAGATCGGTCGCGCAAATGGTGTGTGTACAGCACAACAGAAAGGTGTGCATATATCATTTCTTCATAGTACGAGTAAGAGAGTCATCAAAACGCAATCTAAGCCACTTACACAATGGGGTATCGGCACGAAAGGGCAATCATTGCAGCCAGAAGCCACATTTGACAATGTGACCAAAACACAAAGAGTCCAAACCCATTTGGTATTCGTTGAAGCCATTGTCGTTTTGTTTGAGAGGCAGAGGCTACAGTTCTTGGGGAGAAAAGTGAATAGATTAAAGGACGGACTAACCTATTTTTTTGGTATTTGTGATGTACGAAAAAGTAGTTCAGGTTGTGCTGAGAGTTGTACACACACCTTCATGTCAAGTGCGCACAGCAAGGTGTGCAGTATTTGAATTCGGCGGCGTAATTTAGTCTAGTCTCATCAATCTCGATACAGCACAATCGAATGCTGCGTCAGTTTCCAGGAATTTCAAAAGGAAGCACTGGATACTTTGGAGCGTTTAGTCCAGATTTCGTCTAGACAAGCAACGAAACGAAAAACGAAATCTTGTAGTTGTGCGAAGGGCTCACAAAGAATTCACGCAGCCTGAAGGGTGACCTTCTGAGTGACTTGACCAAGACGAACCATAGATGCATTTGAGAAACTACAACAAGCTTGTTTATGTACACCATATAGGGAGTGTTTTAGGGCATATATGGAGTATTTTCGGAGACATTGAATGTCTGGCTGCAATCCAGAGAGGCGATCTCTCAGAACTAGAAAGGGCTATCGACATGGTGTCAAAATGTTCATTCTGTCTTGAGTAATAATTGTCGACTGAGATCACTTGACAATTCTCATGAGAAGAAACTAGTCGAATGAATACCCATTACGGAAGACAGCGGCTGAGGCAATCAATGTTCCGTCTAACAAGAGATTGAACAGTCAAGACAAGCCCCATATTCGTCTTACTTCAATTTGTATACACTATACATAGACTGTTTATGAAATAAACATGCATGGCCTTGGAAGCAAAAATTGCCAAAATCGTTTGTGACCAAAACTCTCCCCACATATAACTGTCTGTTTAAAACGTCTTTACCGCCTAATAGACACCCCCAGAGCTCCATCAACTCTCTAATCACTACTAACATTAACTGCTCCAACTACTCTTCACGATGAAGAGGGCTTCGATTCACATTCCACCACATTTGGTTCAACTCCTTATACTCCACATATGGACTCTTCCCAAACTCAGGCTCCTCCGGAGTAAAATCCCACGGCTTCTCCATTATATAATGTATATTCTTCACGTCATCCATATTCCACACGTTAGCATGGAAGATACTCATCGTCTTGAGTGCATTATAGATATAGGGGAGTTCAACCCAGTCCGGAAAATACTCGTTAAGCCAGTCCTGTTCAGGGAACTGATATTTCGTTAAATCGGTCGTGGTTGATAAGAAGTCGTTCATGACTCTGAATGTTTCCATGGAAGGCCGAAGGAGCAAGATTCCAGCGTTAAGTGCGCGAGGCGCAGAGGACGGTAATGGCTGACTACGACCCTTCCATGTGTGGGCACAGTTTTCTTTAATCCAATGAGCAGGGTATCTCGGGTTGCTCATTCTAGCGCCGATTGGTTAGGAAGGTTGAGACTTTGACGATAGTAGACCACTTACACGTTACATATACAAGCTGAGGTAGAAGCCAGCTCCCGACCTTCGGTTAATAGATCAAAGACCTCGTCCATATTTTTGATTACTAGCATATCTGCATCTAGCAAGCATACCTACCAAAAGTGGAGTGTCAACAACATGTCAAACCATACTTGCGGAGTATGTGTCTTGCAAGCCTTCTTCCCAACGTTGGAAGGAATAACAACCAGAATCAACATCTGGAATACGGTTACATCAAATCCATCCAGCTCGATCCATCCTTTGCAGCACATTACCTTCTCGTACTCAATCAACTTCCACACTTCAAATTTCGTAAAGACGTCAGCAAACCGCTCAAAGACAAAGTTGGTAACGGCCTTGGCAGATGGAAGCAGCTTATGGATCTTCTTTACAGACACATTCGGTAGTTGTTCAATCGATGCAATCGACTTGTCAGACACCTCGTCAGTGCATAAAACGATTAGCGGATATCGGCTGCCATGACTATATAGGCACTTGGCGAGTACTTCTACCCCCACTGCATAGGACTCGGTTGTCAGCAGTGTAGCGTAACAGTTGGGTTTCATTGCGTTGCTAGGCCTTCTCTGATGTGTATTTGCAAAACTGAGGTAGAGTAATCATGAAACTGGATCACTTTGCCTGAAATTTCCAATTGGACGATGATGTCGTGCTATTTAAAAAATCAACAATCCTGATTCTTTCGTGAATCGCTTCCTTGCTCTTGTGACGAAGAACACCAACTGCGGCAATTGAGGTTTGAGCAGCCTTCAAAGGATAGTGTGATGGAGTGCGTGAAATGATACAAGTTGTGCTTTCTCCTTTCGGATTCTTTTGAAAGTCGCGGTGTATTGCTCGAACTGGAACTTTGTGACTGCTGCAATGCTACATACCTAAAAGCGACATAGTCTGCAGGCAAAATAGCTCGGTGTTTGACTATGTACTATACATATGCTTATAAACTATTCCGTTTATAGGAAGGCATCGAGATAACAACAACTACTGTCTTGCGACGAAGTCTCCCCCACTGTACTACATCATCCATCAGATCTTACACTTTTTACAACCCAAAAGACTATTGTTTACGTTGAAGCGGACCTTGATTAACATCCCACCACATTTGGTTCAACTCCTTATACTCCACATACGGACTCGTCCCAAACTCTGGATCGTCAGGACTGTAATCCCAAGGCTTCTCCAGTATATAATGTATGTTCTTCACCTCATCCATATCCCATACATTGGAGTGAAACACACTCATGGTCTTGAGCGCATTATATATGTAAGGCATTTCGACCCAATCTGGAAAGTACTCGTTCAACCAGTCCTGGTCACCAAACTGATATTTCGTTAAGTCGGTTGCTGTGGATAAAAACTCGCTCATGACTTTGAATGTTTCCATAGAGGGTCGAAGAAGTAGGATTCCTGCATTCAGTGATCTTGGCGAGCTGGCCGGGACTGGTTGATTACGACCTTTCCAGGTATGGGCACAGTTTGCAGGAGTCCAGAATGATGGATATCGTGGGTTCTTCATTCTTTTCGAGAGTTTTTAGGTATTGTTGTTAGCCCCCGTTGTCGGTCACCAAAAGGTCCTTCACAACTTACACGTTGCATATGCAAGCAGATGTAGATGCTAGCTTACGACCCTCAGGCAGCAGATCAAACACCTCGTCCATGTTTTTGATTATAAGCATATCTGCGTCTAGTTGGCATACCTGGAGTGAGAAGAATGTGTAAAGCAGGTGAGTGGAGGTCCTGTGTCCAAAACTTCCCAGACGGCGAGAGAATACATAACCGAGTTGCTTCGAAACAAACATATTAAAGTTCGAATCTCCGTTTCCATCTGCAGTAGCAACATACCTTCTGGTACTCAATCAACTTCCACACTTCAAATTTCGTGAAAACATCAGAGAAACGTTCATATACAAAGTTGGTGGCTGCATTTTCCGATGGTAGCATCTTTTGGATCCTTTTTATGATCACATTCGGTAACTGTTCAAGCGACTGAGTGGCCTTGTCGGAAAGGTTGTTGGTACACATTACAACTAGATTGTATCTGGAGCCATGGTTGTATAGGCATTTGGCCAAGACATTAACTCCTACAGCGTAGGAATCTGTGGTCAATAGGGTAGCGTAGCAGTATTGCTTCTTGGTCATGTTTGCTGAGTTGTGATGCGATTTTGAAGAAAGTTCGAAAGAGTGGAAATGAAAGCAAGTCAACAATGGTTACTGCCAAAAACTCCTGCAGGATTCAAATGCTTCCCATTTGAGCAAAATCAAGATATTGGATTGTTTTGGCAACAGTTCCCTCCTCTATACAACAAAAATCTGGAACTGCGGCACTCTTGTTCTAAAAATTGGTGCAATAGGAAGGAGTGCCACAGTAGCATAACACCGTTTTTCATCAATCGCGTCGAATTCGCCTGAATGGACTTCTATTACTATAAAAGTGAAAGCTCATAATCTAAAGCTTCACAAACACCTTACGGCCCTTGGCAGCTGCGGCAATGACTTCCGGTCTCAACAGCTTCTTGTCAATCTTGCCATTAGCATTACGAATGATGCTTTCCTGACGCAAATCAATGAATACGGGAACCTTGAATCCCGCTACCTTGGTCTTCATGTGTGCTTGAATATCTGCCTCTGTCACTTTACCCCAATATTGAGGTTTTACTAAATGGGCACGGTGAATTATCATGAACCACACGACGACACAAGTCATAGAAACAAGTTAGACTCACTTTGCACAGAAGCTGCAACCTCTTCTCCAAGAACTTCATGTGGCAATCCAACACAAGCCGCATCCATTATTGCTTCGTGTGTGTATAAGGCATTCTCTACTTCAACGCAATACACGTTTTCACCACCTCTGATCAACTAATTTGATCCATAAATAGAGTCAGTAATCATTTCTGGAATGAATAACACTATTCAATGAACTTCACCATATCCTTCGCTCGATCCTTGATATACACAAAGCCCTCCTCATCTATCGTAGCCAAATCCCCAGTCTTTAGCCAACCATTTTCAAAGGTTTTGGCTGTAGCTTCAGGCATATTCCAGTATCCTTTGACGATATTGGGACCCTAGTGTATGGGTTTAGTTCACGTTTGCTTTAACTTCATTGAGAGACACAGCAGGCCAGCATGCTACCTTGATAAACAACTCTCCAATTTCATTCACGGGACAGTCTTTTCCATCTTCACCCACAATACGAACGTCATTCACCAAAGTAGGATATCCAATAGAGGATGGCTTTCTGATATAGTCTTCACCAGAATTGCCAATTGTAAGAGCACTCGATTCAGTCAATCCATAGCCGTTAGCTGCAGTGGCAAGAGGGAAGTCCTTCGAGATCTTTTGAGCTAGCGTCACAGCAGCTGGTGCTCCTCCGTACTGATTTGGGAAAGAGACATGTTAACTTCTCAGTCAAGCCGACGAAGATTCACACGTGCTTACCCCGAATCCGACAATACTCGATAAATCAAAGTCTTTTCGTTGCGGATGCTCTAAAATCTGCCACGCAATGAACGGGACGCCACCAACACCCGTGATTTTTTCCTTTTGAATCAATTTCAAAGCTTCTAAGGCCTCGAATTTATACATCATGACGATCTTATTGCCTGCGAAGGTTGATGATTGTAACGACGAGATGCATCCTGTGGCATGAAACAAGGGAATGGCGAGCAATGTGGCCATTTTCGGTGCACTTGGGTTTGGAGCTGGTGGTAGTTCTCCGCGCCTCAAGAAGGAGCGAACTTGGCCTGCTGCGCCAGCAAATAAGGAAGTTGTGAAATTCCGATTAGTGCCGAGAGCTCCTTCTGCAGTGTGAGGGAATGGCTGAGTTCAAAACACACATTTCGAGAGATGAAAAGGAAGATTGCGTACTTGGTCGACCTATTTAATAAAGATGAAATTCAAGTTAACAAAAAGTTCGTATTAACAACGCAGAACAAATGCAGCCCAAAACCTGTGGTTCCTGACGTGTAAAAGATAGTAGCCTCATCTTCCGCATCAATCTTGACATCAGGCACATCATTAGCTCCGTTCGAAGCACTCAAAGCATCTTCATACGATATTAGATTAGCAGGACACTGCAGACGAGCACCAGCAGGTACACGACATACAATCACATGCCGTAACTCCTTGAGAGCTGCTAAATGCGGTTGCAACCGTTCCAGCCGTTCTGCGTCACAGACCAGTACTTTAGCACCGCAGTCCCGAATACAGTACTCAAGTTCCGCTCCCGTCAACCACGCATTAATGGGAACAACGATGCAACCAATAGAGGCGGCGGCCCAGAAGCAAACAATCCACTCGGGAAGATTACGAGCAGCGATTGCCACTCGATCTCCTTTACGAGCTCCCTTTATGTTGTAGAGAGTGTTTGCTATGGCGATAACTCGCTTGTTTTGTTCATTAAATGTATATCTTTCGTTCTCGTAGACGACGGATATGTGTTCGCCGTGTGCCTATAGAAGAAGTGGTTTAGCAGTTGGTTGGTCGAAAAACTGATCTTGATCGAAAGTTACCCTTGATGCTTGCCAAACAGCTCGAAGAGTCTGGATCGGATTTTTAAATACTCTTATTTTGACTCCGCGAATGTCTTTCTAAGTAGAAAGTAAGGATGTGTGTAAGTGCACAACTGAAGAACTGCTGATGTGATCAGATTGAAACCAACACATCGGCAGGAGAAGTAGATAAGGAGACGAGTGACCCGGCATGTCAGCGCCATTCAGATCAGATTTCTATTCCCGTCTCATACTGTTGAAACAGCCGTTTCGGCCTATGGGAGTGATCGGTCCCACGAGATATCAAAAACTTACTTCTTCTAAAGCAAAGACGGGATTCTTTGCGATTATCGCATGGCATTGATCCATAGTAAGGCCTTTCGGTATGGCTGGTTGAGTTGCAGTAGCCATTGTTGCTGCTCGATTTGATCTAAGTTTGAAAAGGAAGTTGGGTTTGTGTGGTGAAAAGATGCGGATTTGTAAAAGATGGTCGTGTCG